TTGGACTTTTATCTTTCTCCATTTCTACAATCTGAATTTCACTCTTACTCTGTGGCTTGCTGTGTAGCTGGGTGGCTGCCCCGTACATTCTCCTCTTCTTGTTCTATCTGGCTCCTTCCTCTCTTCCCAGATCTCTGCCCTATTTATTCTCTCTGCCTGCCAGCCTCCCTGTCCTTTCCCCTGCTTGTTGTTGGCTGTTCAGCTCTTTATTAGACCAGGCAAAGAATCACAGCTTCACAGAGTTAAATAAATGCAGCATAGCAGAATGCAACATGTCTTTGCATCATTAAACAAATGTTCCACATCGTAAACAAATGTAGCACACCTTAAGATAATATTCCACAACAGCCTCACACATCCTTTCTGAGAATTAAAGAAACCTGGGTGGCTCGCAATTCAGTGTGGCCATGTGGAAACAGTTTTATATTGAGTAGTGTAGGAAATACGGATGAAAACACCTGAGTATTTCATTCGGGCACAATGTCATTTCAATTTTTCATTTTAACATTATTTCTTTATTGTAGAGGTTGGTTCTCTCCTTCCACCATGTGGTCCCACAGATCAAACTCAGGTGGTCAGGTCTAGTGACTTTTTTGTTTTGTTTTTGAGACATGTCTAGCCCAGACTGGTCTATAACTCCATGCTAGCCTGGAACCCACTATGTAGCCCAGGCTGGTCTATAACTCCAGGCTAGCCTGGAACTCACTACATAGCCCAGGCTAGTCTAGAACTCACTATGTAGCCCAGGCTGGCTTTGAGTGCTTAATCCTCTTGCCTCAGTCTTCCAGGATTGACTGTGCTGACATTTCTAAGGTCAGCTACTTAGGTTTGCAGTAGAAAGTGAGGGACTTTGCACTTTCCTCCTCAGCATCCCCTTCCTCCAAAGCATCCCCTCCCTCCTCAGCCTCTCCTCCCTTTTCAGCTTCTCCTCTTTCCACAGCCTCTCCTCCCTCTTCAGCTTCCCCTCTTTCCACAGCCTCTCCTCCCTCTTCAGCTTCCCCTCTTTCCACAGCCTCTCCTCCCTCTTCAGCTTCCCCTCTTTCCACAGCCTCTCCTCCCTCTTCAGCTTCTCCTCGCCCCTCAGTCCCGTCCCCCCCCCCCCGGCTTCCCCACTGCAGTATGGACTCTCGATGAAACCTTCCCCAGAGCTGACTTGAGTTTCTATGGACTCTAGGGCCATCTTCGAAGCTCTTGGAACCTAGCAGCCACTCAGCAAACAGAAATGACCATTGCAGTTATGTCACTGAGAGTTGTCCCTGGCAAGCTGTCTCCTCTGGTCAGAAAAACTCCCCATTGAACCAGGACTCTCACTAAGCCTCGTAACAATTTTTACTTCAGTTTTCACGCATGGTAAAAATGTTGTATTTGTGCGTGGACAGGCACCTGCTGTGGTGTGTTTGCGGTGAGCGCAGACTCGCAGGTCAGAGGACAACTTGCAGGTGTCAGTGTTTCCACCCATCATCTGAAACCCGGGTATGAAACTCAGGCCTTCAGGCTTGGCGACAGACAAGTGCCTTACCCCGTGAGCCATCTCTCTGGCTCCGAAGGTGACCTTTCGCATCTAGCCTCCTGGGGCAGCAATAATGTCTTTAAGATCAACTAGCTGTCACCCATAGCAATAAGTTTTTGTCTTCCTGAAGAATATTCCATGGTACGGACAAACCCTGGCTCAACATTCACTCCTGGACACACAATTGGCCACTTCAAGTCACTGGCCATAATGAATAAGGCTGCTATTTCTACTGTGGTTACATTCATGGACAGTGGGTTTTATGGTGGGGTGCAGGGCATTAGCCAGCTGAGGGACAGTTTTATCAGAGTTCAAGAGAAAAGCACTTGGATAGACATGCTGACATCCCAGCAGCCACTGGGAAAAGGTAGAGCATGAATTTTAATTGGTCTCAATAATAAAAACTCAGAGTCAGCTATCAGGGGGTGAAAGCCGAAGGATCAGAGAAGCAGAGTGGTCAGTCACTAGAGTTCTCACCTCTACCGATGCTCAGACCACAGGGGCATCCTGTCCTCAGATGCATCCTCAGACTGCCTGCTTCAGACTGCCCGGAGCTCCTGTCTCTTCCCGCCTTATATTCCTCTCTCCGCCCAGCCTTTCCCTTTCTGTCTCCACCTCCTTAGTTCTGAAATTAAAGGCATGTCACTCCAAGTACTGGGATCCTTTCCGTGAGCTCTGTTTCTCTTTTAGACTGGATCAATTTCATGTAATTCAGGGTGGCCTTGAACTAACAGAAATCTCCAGAGTGCTGGGATTGAAGGTGTGTGCCACCACTGCCTGGCCTTTGTGGCTAACTGATGTGGCTAGCTTTGCACTCTAATCTTCAGACAAGCTTTGTTAGATCATAAACAAAATAGCGTCACAAGAAGGTGAGAGACAGGAAGGGAGAAAGTCATGTCTATTATGAAAGCTGAGGGAATAGGAAGGGTGGTGGTGAGGCAGGGATGGAGGTGCTGCATTCTTTAGACTGCTTCCGTTGTCTGGGAGCATCAGCATCTTTCAGGACCCAAGAAAGCTGGGAAGAGCAGTCTCACTCCCTGCCCAGGCTCCGTGGGACCACCTGGGGCCCTGATGCAGATTTTGAGGGAACTGGAGCCACTAGGTTGCTGGAGCAGGTATTTATTAGTGACAGGGGTAAAGTTAAGGAGTTTAGGGGGGATTTTTTCCCTTGGGTATACATTTGAAACTTTTAGGCATACAGTTTGGTAGTTGGGGAAGGGGAGTCCCGAGATCCACCCTCAGGAATAGGCAGACTTGGCAGGGGAAATAGATTGTTGGTTGATAGATGATTCTTATCTGGAGTCAGTTTGACCTGTGAAAGGTGGATCCAAGTGGATTCCCTGAAGCTTACAAGGAATTTTTTAAGTTTACAAACAGAGATGTTTTAGATACGTTAGCATTACCATTGTTTGTCATCTGTACTGAAATCCACATTGTAGAACACAGTAAACTCACGCCTTTGAATCATGGTAGAAGCCTGGAGACCAACAATTATGGGTTACAGTATTAACACACTTTCCAGAGACCTGAATATATAGATTGGACAGAGATGTTTTTAGCACAGTGAGAATCATTTTTAAGTCTATACTTAAAAGACAGCCAAAGAAAATTTTTAAATTTTAGCTTATGACTATGATAATAGTATTCAGTGTTTATCCAGGGCTAGATTAATAGCTTATTAGAACTCCATGGATTAATGTTAAAACCCTCAATTTTTGAAGGCTCAATATAACAATAGCATACAGAAAGAAAGAAATCTGAAACTTTTTTTTTTCTTTTGAGAAAGGGTTTCTCTGTATAGACCTGGCTGTCTTGGAACTTGCTTTGTAAACCAAACTGGCCTCAAACTCACAGAGATCCCCTGCCTCCTGAGTGCTGGTACTAAAGGTGTGTCTCACCACCACTCAGCTCCAAAAATTTTTCATTTTTATGTGTATCTTAAGTCACTTTCCTATACCTTTACAAATGGCATTTACATACCCTTTATGACTTGCATTTACATATCTTAAAACATTATCAGTTGAGAAGATGTCTCCATTAGATTGGCTTGTGCAAGTCTGTGGAGACATTTTCTCGTTTGATTATTGATGTGAGTGGGTTCAGCCCACTGTGGGTGGTGCCATCTTGGCCTGGTCCTGGGGTGTATAGAATGCAGGCTAAGCAAACTGTGGGGAACAGGCCAGTATTGAAGTCACTGACCAAGGTAATTCATAAAAGAAAGCATTGAACTGGGGCTGGCTTACGGTTTCAGAGGGTTGCTCCATTACCGTCCTGGTGGGCAGCACGGCAGCATGCTTTGTTAGGAACCAGGTCTGCCCACTTTCTGCCTTCAACAACTCAGCATCTGCAGCCACATCAAGGGACATATACACCCTTTAAAAGGTCCCTTCACCATGGCCCATTCTCCTGTTCTGTCTGTCTGTGTGTCTTTGTTTCTGTCTCTCTTGTCCCTGCTCCAAGGTGGCCTCTCCCCAGTAAATCTCTTGAGTAGAGCTGTTGCAAGGTGTGATCTCTGTGGCAGTCCTTGACCAAGGTGCTCTTCTGCAGAAACCTTGACACTGGTTCCGAGACTCAGTTGAATATTCTGGTGCCTGTGTGCTCTCCTCTTGGGCATCTAAGCTGCACTAGAATCCTGTCTGTTATCTCCAGGACACCTGCAACAGACTCACCTGCAGGCTCACCGATTGCTGGTCGTCCATGCAACAGCCACAACCATTTACACCCTTTAGTTGGCATAAATGTTCTCGGGATCTGAGGGAGTGAAGCACTGAGCATCCGGCAACCCTCTGGCATTTTTGGAGGTAGAGGTACCTCCAGCCATGGTCTTTAAGGCTGTGGTTGACTCTCTTTGCTGACCCCACCTCTGACCCTTTCCCTTGGATGAGGCTTCATTTTTAGCTCAGGTTTTGCCTTTCAGCTTCATTTGAAAGTCCTGGTACCAGGTGCTGGGCTTTCAGCCTGACCCCTGTCCAATATGGTAGTGATCCGCTGAACAACTTTTGTCTTCCTCTTTCAGTCCTCCACGTCCTGAGGATGCCCTGAACTTCAAGCCTTGGACCTACCCCTCTTCCTCACCCATGAGAACAGTGTAGCCTCTCCACCTGGCACCCGACCTGAAAGGCTCCAAATTTATTTCCTTTTATATGGCAAGTGATCTGGGGTGCTCAGGGTGGAGATGGGGCACAGAAAATGGCTCCCATTCCTTATTTTCCTTCCCCTCTCTCGGGGCTCTTTTTGTCTGGTCTCCCTGACACAATGTGTAAATGTCCTGTCATTAAGTTACACTAACAGATCTGTAAGTTTGTTGCAAAGTGGGACTCAGAGAGCAGCCGGTGTGGTGAAACAGTGTTTGTACTCTAAGAAATAAAGCTTGTCTGAAGATTGGAGGGAAGGGCTAGTCACTAGTTAAACACAGAAGTCTGGAGGTCTGTACACACAGACAGGAAGTGATACTGCTGGGAATATAAGGCAGGAGGAGACAGGAACATGGTCTCTTCCGTCTGGAGATTTCATAGAGTTAAGAATTCTAATGGCTGACTGCTCTGTTTCTCTGGTCGTTCAGCTTTTACCCCTGAATATCTGACTCTGGGTTTTTATTATTAAGGCCAATTAGAAGTCGTGCTACAAGGAGGAAAAGCAAGGGAGCAGGCCAGCCCCAGGTTCACACGCCTGTCCTGCACTACAGCGCCCACTCAGACGGAGCTAAGGTGTGTACTGATCATTTGTTTGTGGATTTGAGTCAAATTTTAGAGTCTGATTCTTCAGCTGCTGCCTCCCTCGGGCTTGCTGTGCCTTCCATATGGGTATCTATATGCTTCTTAGCCCCTGGCTGTCCCTCTTTGTACCTTAACCGTTCCTCTCCTTGTCCTATGCCATAAGTGTCTCTCTGGCTTCTGGAGACAGCTTCTATGCTTTTGGGGCTCCCACCATGTGGACAGCTTTCCCTCTAGGCTCTGGCATGGTTTCTCTAGTGAAGACACCGGCTCCCTTCCTCTGCGCTCCCCTGGCTGTCTCTGTCTGCAGCCTCAGCTTCGGCTCTTGGTTCCCTTTGGAGCGTATAGGAAAACACCTGCTGGCGTTCCTTTCTGAGACCCTCTCTCTCCTCCATGGACTCAGATTTTATTACTGCAGCTTGGCCTCAGTACAGAACAATGGCCAAATAATTGACACACTTGATTTCCAAATTCTCTAAGATTGTAACAACTTCTGCTGCCACACAAACAGATCCCAGAGTCTCTTGTCTCTAAGGTTCTACAACTTCCCACTCTTATTGTTTTAATTTCTGAGATTCATTTGCACTTTTTTTTGTCTTAGGAGACAGGGTTTCTCTGTGTAGCTCTGTAGACCAGGCTGGCCTTGAACTTGCAGAGATCTGCCTGCCTCTGCCTCCAAGTGCTGTGAATAAGGACCACCCAGCTGGAAAGAAATATCTTAATAGAGGGAGCCATTATGGTATTATAGAGAAATCTGACACTAGGGAAATTCCTAAGAATACACAAGGATGACCCCTGATAAAACTCTAAGCAATAGGGGCTGGAGAGATGGCTCAGTGGTTAAGAGCACTGACTGCTCCTCCAGAGGACCTGAGTTCAATTCCTGGCAACCACATGGTGGCTCACAATCATCTGTAATGAGATTTGATTCCCTCTTTGGCCCACAGGGATACATGCAGGCAGAACACTGTATAAAATAAATAGATGAATAAATCTTAAGAAAAAACTCTAAGAAATAGCAGAGAAGGGGATTGATCACTAAGAAATAGTGGAGAAGGGGACTGATCTGTCCTTCCTTTGTAATCAGATTGAGGACTACCTTTATCCAGTAGCTGCTGGAAGCAGATGCAGAGATCCACAACTAACCACTGAGCTGAGCTCCCAGAATCCAATCCAAGAGAGGAAAAAGTAATAATATGAATAAAGGGGTCAAGACAATGATGGGGAAACCCACAGAAACAACTGACCCAAGGTAGTGGGAGCTCACTAACTCCAGAGTGACAGCTGAGGAACCTGCATAGGACTGAACTCAGCCCCCGATACAGGAGCTAATTAAGACATGTGGCCCCAGAGTTCAGGACAGTTGTGATACAAGAGACGACTGTGTGCTGCACCCTGACCTGTTTCTTCATCTTGCAGAGAAGAGAAGTGCATGGACACCTGGGTCCCAGTTGCAGGGATTCACTAAAGTTGCCTTGAGGCAAGAAGATAGAGACTTCTTTTGATGCTAAGCACAAAATGGCAGCATAGCCAGGACTATAACGATAGGCTTTCCTTCTTCAGCGTGGAAGTGAGCCTGAAACCTCCTCTGAGAGCACATACAGACATCAGTCACACAGGACTGACTTCTCTAACATGTTGGGACACAACCGCACAAAAAGACAGGAAAGCAGAAGGGTGACCAGCTGTGCAGAGAAAGGGGGACAGCAGGAGTGGAAGTGAACTAGAGTGGATAATGGGGGTAAATTTGATCAAAATGCATTATGTACATGAAAATGTCACAATGAAAACAATATGTGTAGTAAGTAAAAACAATTTAAGGTTTTATTTTGATATTAGAAAATCTTTGATTAAAAAATTGTTATTTTTTTAAGGCTAAACCTAAGAGGGATGGGAGGTGAAGTCCTAGTCTTATAAAACTGCTAACTTATTGTAAACTGTTAAGGATAATTAAGACATGCAAGTTAATAGTCACCTTATAGATACCAGATTCTTTAATATGTTCAGAACTACACTTTTAGTCATGCTACATACTAATGCAATTAATCGCAGGAACAAGTTTTATTTAGTCTTTTGTATATATTTCCAAAGTTAAACAAGCAAAGTTTGTTTAGTTTAGATAAACTTAGTAGGTGGTCTTCAAACTCTCATGGCATTTAAAAAGAGGGGGTGCTTTTCATGGTAGAGAGACGCGCCAGCTCCTGGCATCATGTCTACTCTCCCCCAAAAGAAGGCGATGGTCACAAAGGAACTCCACCTGGAGCCTGCTTTACATGTGGCAAAGCCAGCCACTGGGTGAAAGACAGCCCTTCACCTTGCCTGCGGTTAGACCCTGTCCAGACTGGGTGAAAGACAGCCCTTCACCTTGCCTGCGGTTAGACCCTGTCCAGACTGGGTGAAAGACAGCCCTTCACCTTGCCTGCGGTTAGACCCTGTCCAGACTGGGTGAAAGACAGCCCTTCACCTTGCCTGCGGTTAGACCCTGTCCAGACTGGGTGAAAGACAGCCCTTCACCTTGCCTGCGGTTAGACCCTGTCCAGACTGGGGTCGAGCAGGACACTAGGGAGTTGCTTGTCCTGCTTTACCTAGTCAAGGTAGGCTGGTCCCCCCAAGTCCCTACTGCACAGGAAAGTCTGTTGGACACTTTGGGGCTGGTGGCTGAAGACTGAAACTGCCCTGGGAGTTCTGCCCCTGAGGTCCATGGAGGGACCTAGGGTTACAGTCCAGGTAGCTGGGCAAGTCTTAGTCTTTTTAATAGATTTTGAAGCAGCTTGATCTGTCTTTCCTGCTTTCTCCAGTGAAATTTATCCTTCTGGGATCTCAATGGCATTGATGACAGACTTTGTCAGTGTCACAGCAGGAAATCACTTTGCAATGACTGCCCTCGGTAATAGCCACCCCTGTCTCGTGGTGAATGGCTCCAAAGAAGAAGGTGTAAAGTTTACATTAAGTCTGAAAATATGAGAGCTTAAGTTATGAGGGTCTAAGAAAATGGTTTTTGTTGTTGTTTTTTGTTTTGTTTTGTTTCGAGACAGGGTTTCTCTGTGGCTTTGGAGGCTGTCCTGGAACTCACTCTGTAGACCAGGCTGGTCTCGAACTCACAGTGATCCGCTTGCCTCTGCCTCCCGAGTGCTGGGATTAAAGGCGTGCGCCACCAACGCCCAGCTTTTTGTTTTTTTTTCAAGATGGGTGTCTTAGAGTTTCTATTGCTGTGAAGAGACATCATGACCACGGCAACTCTCATAAAGGAAAACATTTGATTGGGCGGGTTACGGTTCGGGAATTCAGTCCATTATTATCGTGGTGGGACATGGTGGCATGCAGACAGACGTGGTGCTGGAGAATGAACTGAGAGTTCTACATCTTTGATACACAGGCGACAGGAAGTGAACTGAAACCCTGGGTGTGGCTTGGAGCATATATGAGACCTCAAAGCCCATCCCCACAGTACATACTCCTCAAACAAGGCCACACCTACTCCAACAAAGCCACTTCCTAATAGTGCCACTCCCTATGAGCTTCTGGGGGTCAAATTACATTCAAACTACCACATGGGGTCTCACTAGGTAACCCTGGCTATCCTGGAACTCACTGTGTAGACCAGGCTGGCCTCTGCTTCTCAAATCCTGGGATTATGTATGTATGTATGTATGTATGTATGTACGTATATATTCAGGGGAAGACTGTTTGGGGCTGTAGCTCCATAGAAGATGCTTGTAGCTCAGTAGCAGAGTACTTGCTTAGTGCACCATCAGTAATGAAAAAAGACAGCGGAGCGGTTATGGTGCACACCTTTAATCCCAGCACTCGGGAGGCAGAGGCGGGCGGATCTTTGTGAGTTTGAGGTCAGCCTGCTCTACAGAATGAGTTCCAGAACAACCTCCAAAGCTACAGAGAAACCCTGTCTCTAACCCCCCCCAAAAAAAACGAAGCAGAGGCAGGTGGATCTCTGGCAGTGGTGGCACAGGCCAGATACAGGCAGATCTCTGAGTTCAAGGCCAGCCTGGTCTACAGAGTGAGTTCCAGGACAACTAAGGCTACACAGAGAAACACTGTCTTGGGAAAAAAAAAGCTTTTAAACAGAGAATTCCAGAGTGCTACAGCAGCAGAGACAGCCAAGCATCCGGTAACTAGACAATCTGTTCCAAGAAAAACAGGAAGCCTGGGACCTGCCCCACGGTCTCTTTGTGACTTCAAGTCCTGAAGGCGGGCCTGATCACCCTGCCTGGCTTTGGCTTCCTTTCCTAGCTCCGGAAGGAGCAGAGAAAACAATCTTGTGAGCCCTGGGGGCTTGTGTTGGGGTGGCATACCTTACTGACCCTGTTGTGGCCCTGTGGGCTGAGGCCTGGGATTTCCCCTACCCAGCTTACCAAAGAGAATATTGAGACCCAAACAGGACCCAGGCCACCCGTGGTCAACCTAGAAAAGGAATCAAAAGAATCTCTGCATTTGAGATTGTTACTACTCTAGAAGATGTGCACGCCACACATTCATTCATTCAGTCACTCACTTATTCATTAATTAACTCATTCATCCCCTCATTCATTCATCCATTCACTAACTCATCCATTCACTCAGGTGCATGTTCATTCACTCAGGTACATGTTCGTTCATTTTCTCATTTATTCGCTCAATCACTTCATTTTCAATCATTCATTTATTAATCCAGTGAGTCATCAACTTACCAAAACAGACCTGATGAATGGAAAGTGTACCTACGTCAGTCTTGTGAGGTTGGTGGTTCCTTTCCTTCATTTTCAGTCCCTTGCACCTTCAGGTTAAGGACGGACAGAGTCAGTGAGGGCTTTGCTCCTCATACTTGTTGGACAAATGTCCCATGTCATTTTCCCTGCCTGTGAGTGGTACAGGGTTCTCTGCCCTCACCAGTTCTGCTCATGGCATGAGAACTGTGTCCACACACATTGGTCCCAGGCATCCTCAGGAAGTCTTCAACATGAGAAAAATTTAATAATTTATTTTATATACTTTTTTGTTTTTTTGAGACAATGTTTCTCAGTGTAACTGCCCTGGCTGTCCTGGAAGTCACTCTGTAGACCAGACTGGCCTCAAATGCACAGAAATCCCAAGCACTGGATTAAAGGTCTTACATATATTTGGCAGGTGCACACCACTGAGCCACACCCCAGCACTCACTGGGGAATTCTAGGCAGGGCTCTACCTTTGAAGTACATGTCTATTTTTTTATGACTGTGTTTAAGAGGAAAAAGTGTGGAAACAGCATTTCAGGCAGAAGGCATACTTTGTGCAACGGTCTAGAGACAGCTGCAAAAGGTTAAACATCCAAAGAGACTGTGTAGGGCTTGGAGAGTGTGGTGAGCACTTCCTGCTCTTACAGAGGACTAGCACCCGCTAGTCGGGAGCTGCCTGGAACGACATCTCTAACACTGGCACTTGCTTTCACATGATACACATATGTACACACAAGTCCCCATATATAACAAACCTTTAAAGCAAATTTGCATGTGTTATATGCATGTTTACCTGTTCATGTGTGTGAACCTATGTGTGGGTACAGGTATGTGCTTGTGGAGACCAGAGGTCAGCATCACACATCTTCCTCGGTCACTCTCTATCTTATTTTGTTTGTTTGTTTGTTTATGGGTTTCTCTGTATTGTTTTGGAGGCTGTCCTGGAACTCACTCTGTAGACCAGGCTGGCCTCAGACTCACAGAGATCCGCCTGCCTCTGCCTCCCGAGTGCTGGGACAAAGGCATGAGCCACTGCCTCCCCGCTCCATTTAACTTGTTTGTTTGTTTTGTTTTGTTGTTTATGTTTTGTCGATTTTTAAAAATTTTTTGAGGGAGACTGAACTTGGGTTGTCAATCTTCCCAAGCCAGGGTTTTATCCACTGAGTCGCCCCTCCTCTTTGCTGCAGGGTCCCACGGTACCTGGAGCACACTGTGCTTGCCTGGAGAGTGAGCTCCAGGGACCCTCTTGTCTCTGCCTCCCCAGTGCTAGGATTAATGGTGTGTGTGCCACTCACCCGGATTTTTTCTGGGGTGCTAACGATCTGAGCTCAGGTCCCCAGAACAGCAAGCCATCTTCTAGCCCCTTGCTGTTGTTTTGAGACAGAGTCTCATATAGCCCAGGCTAGTCCGTAGCTCCCTCCATATCTGAGGCTGGCCCTGAACTACTGATTCCCCTGTATCTGCTTCCTCAGTTCTGGGATTACAGACTTACACCGCCATGCTTGGTTTTCACGTGAGTGCTTAGGACCTGAATTTAGGTTATCAGGGTTGCACAGCAGACACTTTACACTGAGTCATCCCCCCAGGCCCACATAGACACATGTTAATGCCACAGTGACAGCCATCACTATAGAATAAACAAACACTAAATGGCAGGTCAGGAACTCTCCCTTTACAGGAAAAGGAAACAGCATTGTACAGCAGCATGAATGAAACATTGCTGTTGTTTTGATACAGGGTCTCATGTAGCCCAGGAGATGGCCAAAGCTGGCCTTAACCTCCAGGTCCTCCTGCTTCTACCTACCAAGTGCTGGGGTTACAAGTGTTTGCTGCCACACCCAGCAGCGGATGGACTCCAACCCCTCATTTCTCAAATGCTGAACCAGCCTGCAAGTCAGCTGCCAGGGAATCATCACCCCCCTTAGCACCACATACATCTGCCCCCCGGAGGGGAACGTAGGGGAACGAGGTATGTTCCTCCATAATCTCCTCTGTCTAGGTCTACCAACCCCACCTCACACCCCATCATGTGGAGGCCAAAGTCTCCTGCATTTGAGCAGCTCCAAGAGCACCCTTGCCCCGCCCGCTGAGTCAGGCCTGGCGGTGCCCTGCAGAGGTGTAGCCTTGACAATCAGGTCTGGCAGGCACCTGGGTGGTACTGGGCACTATCTTGACTTGAAGGGATCTTTGAAACCACCCTTTCAGAAACCAAAGCTGCTTTGAGAGTCCCCATTAGCTTCTCCAGAACACCAGGGCTCTGGGATCCTGCTCCCCTACCCATATCTGCCTTGTCCTGTGACTCACCAGGAGCCCTGGGTGACCAGAAGAGAAAAATCAAGGCTCAGAGAGGTTGAAAAATTGAACTATAGGTCACACAGCCAGGTCTGAATTGGAACCTAGCTGATCTTGACACAACTGCTTTCTTTTAGGGGGTGGGAAGCAAGCTCCTTGGGTTCAAATCTTAAATCTGACATGGATGCATTAGGTGAATAGGGCAAGTCCTGAGTTTCCTCAAGTAAATGAGACCACGCTAACACTTCCGGCTGGGGTGGGGTGGGGGACAAAACCCAGAGCCAGTGCAAAGGACTTGAGGTTGAGCCACATCCTAGTGTTTTAAAGGAGTATTTAGGAGACCAGAAGCAGGAGATCAGTTCTACTGGAATGCAAGAGGGAGGCTCTAAGGGCAGATCATGCAGAGACTGAAGGCTAAGGAACGGACTTTGACCTAAGTGTGGTGGGAGCCACAGAGGGTTCCGCACCAGGAAGGATGTGATGGGACTCAAGTGCCCCCAAGATCCCGCACAATAGAAGCAGCAGGAAGGGCCCAGCTTCATGTTCCTCACCCAGGAGAGGAAAGGAGGAGGCAGGGACCGCAGAATGGCACTGTGTGGAGCCCAGCACAGTGGTGGGTGGAGTTACATTATGCATCTCCCAGGTCAAAGCAGCTGGACCACTCTGGGCAGGTGTGTGGGTGCCTGACAGCTGTGTACACAGATCAGTGCAGGGCAAGGTGCAGATGGGCTTCTAGGGAGTGCCCCCCCATCTAGGTTTCCTTTTGTGGCTCTTAAAACTGAAACAGATTTGCTGGGCAACTAGGGCAAGCGCCCCCGACCCGCTGGCCCAGTTTCATCACATGCTAGCATCCATAAGCGGGAGAAACAACAGCGCATGCAAAAGCTCTGGGGCGGGCATGTCCTGGTGTCGCACAGCTGCCTACTCTCAGACTGTTTTGACTGTGGCTGCTGGGAAGGCAGACGCTTTCCAGGAGAAGGCACGGAGGCAGGAGAGGTTGGTATAGCCAGAGATGAACCAGGCCTGGAAAACTCTAGAACACTGCTGCTGACAGAGGAGCTATAGGGAAGAGATTTAAGGCCACAAATTAATGAAGACATCGCTACATCTTCTGGTGGACAGCAATTTCCAGATTTGCTCCCTCAAGTATCAATGCCAGTTTTCTGAGTCACATCTCCTAGAGTGAAACCCCTGAGCCTCGTTGGACTAGTCCACCTCTCTCCCCCCACCCAGAGACCCGCATGGAATCCTTTGAGGCCCTCGTGGGGCATGCTAAGCCAAAGGGTCCACACCTCTAGGTTCAGTTTACCATTTGTCAATAGTGAAAAACAGCAGACCTTCCCACCTGTCTACTGCACAGCTGGAAGCAAAAACTTAGTAATTATTGTTTATTCCATGTGTGACACTGACGTTGTTTTCTAGCCAGAGTGTCTTCCGGAGATAAGCGGGACCTACCAGATTTTGTTGTTCGATCTTTCTCTTCCCAGCCCAACAGAAGACTCAATTTCCCCATCCTGACCCCACTGCAAGGGGGAAAGCCTCCCCTCCATGCCCCGCCCCTGTTTCACTCCCGGCTCCGCCCACCCAAGCCCTGCTTGGCCTGGCCGCATCTGCCATCACAGACTCCCAATTCCCGACCCATCCTAGCGATGTCCCGGCCACAATGTCCCTCCCCATCAAGGACTTTCTTTTCCTAGCAATGCCCACAAAAGCTCCCCATCTCTCCAGCGTTGACCAGGTCTTCATCCCGGAGCAGGGACAGCCCCCATTACAGCCTGGCTCTATCCCGTCAGCGCGGTCTCTATCCCAGTCCCCTGTCGGAGAGCAGGCTCCTCCCCATCCCCGCGTTTCTGTTCTACTCTCAACGCTGGCCCCGCCCCACCCCAGAAAGGGCTCCGCCCTACCCTGGGGAAGACTCCACCCCAGGCAGAGTCCGATCCCATCGCAGAGAAGGCTCCGCCCCCTCCCAGAGAAGGCCCCACCCCATCCCCCTAGCTCGGCCCTAAGGCCGAGGCGTGCCCTAGCTCAGGCCCCGCCCCATATGCACAGGCCCCGCCCCACACGCGCGCCGGGCCCGCCCAGCCCGACTTCCCAGACTCGGGAGGCTGCGGCGGGACGCGGGGCGTCATGGCGGCCTCGGAGCGCCGCGCCTTCGCTCACAAGATCAACAGGTAGCGAGAGCGGCCGCGGACACTGCCGTTCCGGGCAGGCTGGGCAAGGGCGAGTGCTGGGGACTGGCGAGCCGCGGCAGCGGGGGCGTGCCGGGCTCCCCGAGGGCTTCCCGGAGGAGGAAGCGCATCCCGGGTCGGTGCGGGCGGGCCCCCGGAGCTGTGGGCTGCATCCCGACCCTCCTGCTGCTCTCACGTCCTTCCCTCGCTGGCCGGGGGAAATTCGTTGCCCTTTCCCCGACCAGGGTCCCGGAACCCAGCTGTCTGGGAAGAGGAGGGAGCTGCCAGAGCTGGGGGACAGCTGGGGACAGCCCCTCAGGCTCCTGTCTCAGCCTCTCCCTGCACCGGCTGGGCGCAGGAGGGGGGTCGAGGCGACTGGGGACTGAGCCAGCTGGTGGGCAGACGGTGGCGGGGGGGCAGGTGACAGATGCCGGGGGGGGGGTCCCTTTCCGAGGCCACTGGTAATAGTGAGAGAGCTTGGGGGAAGGCTCCAAACTGGGGCAGGTTCGTAATCATCTGTGAAATCCGATCCACTGGAAACCTGTTCTGACCACCCTTAGGTTGGGAGACGCCGCTTGTGGGTCCCGCACTGATGGAAACACAAGAAGTAGCCTCTCTGCTGGACTTGCTATGGTGGGTGGGGCAAGGGGGTGCTGGATAGATGTATCAGAGATGTGGTGGGCATTTATACGACAGGAAGCAGATGGCACCATCATCTCCAGCCCATCACCCTGAGGCCACAAGGGAGACCAGAAGGAGTACTTTGACTGTGAACCATAGTGAGAGCCACAGAGAGTTCTGGATAGAGGAGGGATGTGACCTGGAGCAGAGCAGTTGGAAGGTTTCCTGTTCCCTTCATAGTACCGTGTGTTTTCTTGGCCCATGTGTTCCAATGCCCTCGAGTTTCGGCTCAAGTGAGAAAGAAGGGTGTTGTCTAGGAGAGTAGGGGCTGTGGAGCCCAGGGTAAGATCAGAAAATGATCCTGAGGTCCTAAGTCACTTTGGGGAAGTGTCCCAAGACTTCCCAAGCAGTTTGGTAGGTGAACAGTTTTGCCCGCAGACTTGAACCTGTATTCACCTATCCATTGAGTTCACCCACAAATCCCAGATGAACCCAAACATCAGGGAGCTGAATGGAGTCTTGGATATATGTGGTTGTATTTTGCTTTTTGAAACAGGCTCTCATGTAACCCACGCTGACCTCAGAGTCACTTTGTGGCCAAGACTGGCCTTGAACTCCAAGTCCTCCTGACTGGGTTTACAGGTGTGCACTGCCACTCTGTGGTGCTGGGGCTGGAGCCCAGAGCTTTCTGCATGCCAGGCACATGCTCCACCCGCAGAGCCTCGTCTCCAGCCCCTTGCTCTGTGCTTGCTCTCCTTTTGAGAGAGGTTCTCTCCCTAGTCTAGCTAGCCTGGAACCAACCGCGTGGCCCAAAGTGGCTTCAAAGTCCCAGCAGCCCCCACCTCAGCTTTCTGAGTGCTGGGATGACCGCATGAGGCATTGTGCATGGTTAGCTTTTTAAAATATATTTTTCATTTATTAACTTTGTGTGTATGTGTGTATACCACAGAGTGTGAGGGGAGGTCAGCAGACAGCTCGCAGGAGTCCGTCCTTTCACTGTGTGTAGATGCCGGGGGTCAAGCTGAGGCCATCAGGCTTGGCCAGGGAGCCCCAGGGATCCTCCTGTCTCTGCTCCTGAAGTGCTGGAGGCTGTTGTGTGGTGCTGGAGATCTGAGCCTGGGTTCTTAGACTTGGGCAGCAGGCACTGTCCCTGGTAACTGTCTCAACCATTGCAGGTGGCCATTTGAGGGGTGTCTCTGTAGTGGAAAAGAGTTTCCTGGGTGCTGACATCTTTGCTGATGTTCATGAATTTGTCTTTAAAAAACATGTCAGTGGTGGCACAAGCCTTTAATCCCAGCACTTGGGAGGTAGAGGCAGACAGATCTCAGTGAGTTCAAGGCCAGCCTGGTCTACAGAGTGAATTCCAGGACAGCCAGGACTGTTACACTGAGAAATCCTGTCTTGAAAAACAGCAACAACAAAAACAAAAAACCCTATATGTCAGCAGGTTTGTGTGACTTTCTGTGGAGTCATTTGACAGATGTGGGAGCATAGAGTTCAAAACCTCTGACCCTGTTTCTGACTTGTTTTCCTGCCCATCATAAAGATAGACCCCAATTAACCTTGTCAGCCCTGGGATGAGCTCCACAGTTGTTACAGTATCTCCTGTTGAACTTGGGACCTGATTTGGGGAAATTATTGTATGGTGTACACACAGGTATCCCAGTGTACGTGCAGATGTGGAGGAGAGCGTAGATGGTGCCCTCTCCATCCCCTTTGCATAGGTGCAGAGGGCCAAACTCAGGTCATCACACGTGGTGGGGATGGCCTTTACCTGCCGAGCCATTTAATGCTATCTCTAATCTTCAGGAATGTGTTCTATGCCAGGCTTGCTGGGGGTAAGGGTCGAGTGGGGTAGCACGAGCCTTTAATTCCAGCACTCGGGAGGCAGAGGCAGGTGGATCCTTGTGAGTTCAAGGCCAGCCTGGTCTACAAAGCAAGTTCCAGGACAGCCAGAGCTGTACAGAGAAAGGGAGAGAGGTTCTACTAGGATACCTGAACAGTCAGATTTGGGGGTGCATGTCTTTTATCTTACCATGTGAACCATGGAAGGAAGGAGGGTTGAGAGTGCAAGCCTTGTCTGGGTTACATAGTGAAATTGGGGCCAGCCTGGGCTACATGAGACCCTGTCTCAAAATGTTGGGGGGCTAGGAAGACTACTCAGTCAGTAAACGGCCATGCAAGCATGAGGACCTGAGACCTAACATCCTCATAAAAGCCAGATGTGAGCCAGCATTGGTGGTGCACGCCTTTAATCCCAGCCCTCGGGAGGCAGAGGCAGGCAGATCTCTGTGAGTTCAAGGATGATAGCCTGGTCTACAGAGTGAGTTCCAGGACAGCCTCCAAAACAATACAGAGAAACCTTGTCTCGAAAAACAAACAAACAAACAAACAAAAAAGCCAGATGTGGTAGAACACCCATAGCCCCGGCTCCAGGATGATGGAGCCCACAGCCTGTCCTGATGGACAGCCCCTTTCTCAGAAAGTAAGATGGATGGTACCAGAGGAGGACATAAGAAGTTGACCTCTGGCCTCCATCTGTGTGCACATGCCCACCCACCTCCACCCGTGTAATGCCTAGGAATGGGGCATGAGGCCGTCGTAGGAATTTGGGGCTTGTGCTGTTAGTAACAGAGCAGCAGCTCCCATGAGTGTGGTTGCAAATCCATCACTGTTTTCCAAGGCCAAGGGCAGTGTCTGTATGTCCTGTCTCCCCCCTTGGGTGGGGACACAGCCTCCACCCCCATCCTGGCATCTTTTAAAAATATTAATCCCATGGGCTCTGAGTGCTCGAGGGTTCAGAGAGTTCTGCTTTGCAGTTTTCATCTTCACTTTAATTTCACTGGGGCTGGAGAGATGGCTCAGGGGTTAAAAGGACTCAGGTTCGGTTCCCAGTCATCCATAACTGCAGTTCCAGGGGATGTGACACCCACCCTCTTCTAACCTCTGAGAGCACAAGGCATGCAGGTGGTGCACACACATACACGCAGGTAATGCACTCATACACATAAAATAAATAATACTTCTAAGTTTCATTTTGTTGCTGGGGGCGATGACAGGGCTCAGCGGGTAAGAGCCTGAATGCCCCAGATTCAGTAATTGGGAGAAGGAAATTGTCCCATGAATTGTCTTTGACTTTTATAGGGACACTGGCTAGTTGTTTTTCTCTTGGCTTTGGTTTGGGCGGGCTGTGGCTCAGTGGTGTTGCCCCTGCCTAGAGTTCCCCAGTGAGGGGCTGGGGGTCTGGCTCAGCTGCAGCATTTCCTAGCATTTAGGAGGCCAGAGGTCATCCTGAGCTCTACAAAACAAAATAAACATGGAACACCTGGAATCGGGACTACCTCAGGGACTGGGATTTCAAGCAGGCCTGGTTTCTGGCCATTCTTTCTCTGAGCTGAGGGTCCTGTTGGCCTCCACACTGGCAGCCTCATCCTAGACTCGCTGAGAGCATACACTCAGAACGCTGTAAGGAGGCCCCTGAGGACCGGGCAGCTGTGAGTGGGTACGTTGAGGCTGGGCAGGAGTGGTGTGCCCAGAGCCTCACAGACAGGATGGGGTAGATGCCTGCTCAAGCAGAGTGCTGGATTGGCATGTTTGAAGAGCCCCGGCACCCCGCGAGTCTGGCACAGTGGCATTTCCCCGTCTGTTTGGTGTAGGAAGAGACTGGGTCTCAGAGAAACCTGCAGCTTTTGCTTATCTATGTATTTAGTCTTGCAGTGCTGGGAATGGAACTCGGGGCTCAGCAGGGCCAGCCCTCGGCCACCATGCTACACCCCAGCCCATTGTTGTTTTAATTTGTTTACCTGAAGTAAGGGGACAGCTGCTGGGAGTCAGTTTCCTCTTGCCGTGAGTCTCGGGACTGAGCTCAGGTGGTCCTGTGCTTTTACCTGCAAGCCATCTTTTTTTTAAGCCCTTGTTTTTTAAATTGCCTTTCCTCACCTAATTTCCCTCCTGCAAATAAGCCCACCTTTCCCCCACCCCTTCACACCTGAGTTTTCTTGTTTCCCATACTCCTTTACTGTCCTCCTAGGACAGTGGCTGCCGAGGTCCGGAAGCAGGTGTCCCGGGAACGCAGCGGCTCACCCCACTCCAGCCGGCGCTCCAGTAGTTCTCTGGGGGTGAGTCCCTGCCCTGTGGCTGGCAGCAGTGGGGTACACCCTGCTCTGGTGCTGCTTGGACCCTCTGTGTTCAGTGGCGGGGGCGGGGGGGGGTGTCCTTGTCCTTCCCACATCTGTGCAGATGCAGGGGTGTGTGTTCCAAGGGCGGTCTGGGGGTGACACTGACTTCCTGGACCACCCAGATGGGGCCCCAGGCTGGGGGCTGGAAGAAACTTCCTGCCACAGGGGAAAGGGGTGGGACTCAGGAATTGTCTCCGCCATTCCTTTTACCATTAGAGTCTTTCCAGACACCAGGGTGTGATTTCCTTCCTGGAGTCCCTGGAGGGAGGGGGCAGGGTGCTGGCCAAGCTGCTATGGAAAGTCTGAGCTCGGCAGTCTCCCATCGACCCTCAGAGGCTCCCTTAACCCCCTACTGCAGTCTTAAGTCAACTGTGAGCATACTCCCCGCCCCGCCTGTCACCGGCGGGAGCCATGGCCACCGCTCTTCCATCAGGTCCCTCTGACGGAGGTCATCGAACCCCTCGATTTTGAGGATGTACTTTCAAGCCGGCCACCTGAAGTCGAGCCCGGGCCTCTCAGGGACTTGATAGAGTTTCCAGCTGATGACTTAGAACTACTGAAGCAGCCCCGAGAATGTCGGACCACGGAGTCTGGGGTCCCCGAGGACGGGTGCGTTCTGTGCGCGCACTCACACCCAATCCCTCTCCAGGAGTCTCGTACTCCTGGCTGCAACTCCAGGCTCTGGACACCTGTGTGGCCCTGGGCAAATCACTCGCTTTCTCCAAGCCTCCATTTCTGCATCTTTGATTTAAAAGTTTTGTTTGTGTGTGCGTGTGCGTGTGTGTGTGTGTGTGTGTGTGTGACAGATTAGTGTGCACCTGCACAGAGGCCAGAGGTCAACTTCAGGAATCCGACTCCTTTTTCTCTCACTTGATCCCAGAGCTCTCCAGGTCGGCTGGTCTTCCCAGCCAGTTTGCTCTAGGGTATCTGTGACTCTTGAGTCTGGGCATTTGGGTGGGCCACCATGCATGGGTGCTGGAGACCTGAACCCCAGTCTTCATGCTTGTGTGGCAATCACTACCTGCCCAGCAGCCCTCTTCACCTCTTCTCTAACAATTGTTTTTATTTTGTGTGCATTGATGTTTTCCTACATGTCCGTGTGAAGTGTCAGATCCCCTGGAACTGGACTTACAGACAGTTGTGAGCTGCCATGTGGGGTATTGGGAATTGAACCTGGATCCTCTAGAAGAACAGCCAGTGTTCTTAACCTCTGAGCCCCTCTCAAGTCTCCTCTTTTTCACTTTTTTTTTTTTTTTTTTTTTTTTTTTTTTTTTTGGTTTTTCGAGACAGGGTTTCTCTGTATTGTTTTGGAGCCTGTCCTGGAACTCACTCTTGTAGACCAGGCTGGCCTCGAACTCACAAAGATCCACCTGCCTCTGCCTCCCAAGTGCTGGGATTAAAGGCGTGCGCCACCAACGCCCAGCTCTTTTTCACTTTTTAAAGAGTTGTTTATCATTTTATTTGATGCATATGGGTGTTTGACCTGCATGTTTGTCTGGGCATCACTCGTGTGCCTGGTTCCTTCCCATGGAGGCCAGAAGAGGGCGTCAGATCCTCTGGAACTGGTGTTATAAGTGATTGTAGTCTCCATGTGGGTGCTGGGGACTAAACTTGGGTCCTCTGCAAGAGTAGCCAATGCAGCCTCTGACTCTGCAGCCCATTGTTTTTGATTTTGAGGCAGGGTTTCATATAGCCCAGGCTCTGAACATACGTTTCTCCTGCCTCTGTCTCCCCACTGCTGGGATCACGGGTGTGCACATCATGCCTGGTCTATGCAGTGCCCAGGATGGATACCAGGGCTTGGTGTACAGGAAGCCAGCTCTGCCACTGAGCTGTCTCCCCAGTCTCACACAGTGCCCCAGCCTGGTCTGTAACTCATAGAAATCCTCCTGCCTTAGCCTCCTGAGCATTGTTACCCACAGTCCTTTTCTCCTAGGCCTTTGGAAATGATTCTTTGCCTCTGCTTACCCTGGTTGTATTTTGCTGTAGAAAGTTGGACGCCCAGGTGAGGGCTGCGGTGGAGATGTACTCGGAGGACTGGGTCATTGTACGCAGAAGGTGGGTCCAGCCCAGAGCAGTTCACGGGAGGAGAAGGAGGCCAAAGGGTTGCAGGTGGTGGGTGGTCCCTCTGTTTACCCGCCCACTATACCTTCCAAGAGTGGCTGACCGCCTTCAGTAAAAAGGGGCCTTGGTAGGTGTCCTGTGATCGCAAGAGTCCCCAGCTCCACCACCTGATTGGCCCCGCCCCTGCTAGGTACCAGCACCTGAGTCCAGCCTACAGCCCTGTCACTACAGAGACACAAAGAGAGCAACAGAAAGGCCTCACCTGCCAGGTCTTCGAGCAGGACACCTCTGGGGACGAAAGGATGGGTCCTGAGGACATGGTGAGAGAGCTGCCGGCTGGGGTCACTGAGGGGTCAGACTGGGGAAATGCCAGGTCAGCCTCGATCCCAGTGAGCAAACTCAGCCCCAGGAGTGAAAGTTAAGAGTCACGATAGTGCACATTTATCAAGTGCTTAGTGTATACTAAAGGCTCTCTGCCTTTATCAAGTACTTAGTGTATACTAAAGGCTCTCTGCCTTTATCAAGTACTTAGTGTATACTAAAGGCTTTCTGCTTGTGCTCTTTTCACCCTGTGAATCAGGGCCACAAGCAGTAACCCTCTTCACAGGCAGAGAAACCGAGGCAGAACAAAGTTATTAATGCTTATATTTTGCTGGTCAGCATTTATTGAACACCTGCTGGATACCAGCCATCATTTGTTGTTACTACTGTGGATTCCATGGCTGTTGTTAGATGTAGTTGCTGGGAGGTGTGGATCATCTCGGTGCTTGTGCTAAGGGTTAGGCTCCATCCTCAGCTGGGGCAGGGGACAGGGAGGGACATGAAAGACAAGGAAACTAGATGCAGGAGGGGAAACCGAGGCTCACAGACAGGTCAATCACTCAAGGTCACAGAGATGAACTAGATTCGAGTCAGAGCTGTGAGAGGTGGTCAGAGGGTTCTAGGTCAGCCACTCACCTGGAGGAAGGAACTCTCTTTCCTGGCAACAGTGAACAGTCCTAGGGAAGACTCTGATTGGTCCAGCCCAGGGGTGCCCTTATCTTGGAGCTAATCCCTGGGGCTGGCCAGTGTGGCCAGTCTGGCCAGTCTGAGTTATCCAAGAGGCAGATAAGCCATTAGGTGTGCTTTAATTGGCTAGAGAAGGGCCACTTGTGGGATCCCCAAGTGACCCTTACAGTGGTGACCCTACCCTGGCTTGCCCCTCAGCTTCTCTCCTTGTAGAGTAGATGTCTGCAGGACAGACTAGGATAGCAGGGGCACTCAGTGCTCACACATTTTCAACTGCAGGATGACTCCCAGCACTGCTCGGGCTCCCCCGAGGACACCCCTCGAAACAGTGGGGCCTCTGGCATCTTCAGCCTGAAGAACCTGGCTTCGGACTCACTGCTGCCAGCACTGCTTGAGCGGGCAGCCCCCGAGGATGTGGACCGGCGCAATGAGGCCCTCAGGCGGCAGCAGCGGGCCCCCGCCCTGCTCACCTTGTACCCTGCTCCCGATGAGGTGGGTGCCCAGTGGCTCACTGTCCCCCAGCAGAGTCCAGCCACCTGGCAGGTCCCTGTGCATCCAGCCAACATTTACTGGCTGCCTACTGTATACCCATCTTCACATAATGACATTATTTGGGCCCTTGTCTGACCTTCATTTATTGAGCACTAAGTGTTTATCTCTGTGTTTATTCAGCCAACAGCCATTGTGTGACTACTGTATACTTCTCTGTTTAACCAGCCAAATGTGCTGACCACTTACCGTATATGCCTCTATATGTCTAGCCATTTTATTTGACATCTGCTAAATACCATTATGTTTTGTTTGACCGTTTATTAAGAGCTGGCCATATACTCAGTCAGTACTTCCTGGGTATGTACTGAATGGAGCTACTCCTTGGCTATGATGGAGTTATTGGTATATAAGTACCAATAAACCTTCTTGAAGTTAAAATATGTAAGTCAAAAATGCTTTCAAGCAGGGCAGTGGTGGTGCACAGATCTTTGTGAATTTGAAGCTTGGTCTACAGAGCGAGTTCCAGAACAGCCAGGCTACACAGAGAAATCCTGTCTCAAAAAAAAAAAAAAAGAAAAGTGTATTCAACTTAGCATGACGACTCATGCTTATAGTCCCAGCCCTGGCAGGGGAGGGGCGGTAGAAGGATTCAAGGTCAACCTTGGCTACACTGTGGCCAACCAGGACTGCCTGAGACCCTGTCTCAGAAAAGACAAAGCAAAGGTGTAACACAGATTACTCAGTGTTCTAGTTTAACCTACTTCTGATGTGTTCAGAGTACCCGCATTAGCCTATAGTTGGGCAAACCCTGAGGTAGAAAGCCGTCTTTTATACTAAAGTGTTGACTGTCTGATGTGGTGTTGTGTGGGTGCAACACCACAAGCCTTGCCAAGTCACAGACTTGGACACCCAACTGCTAAACTCAGAGACTTGGTGCTCGTTACTGAGTGCTTTCTTTATACACTGATATCTATCCAAACAAAATCTGCAGGCACTTCCTGTATATTTCTGAACAGAATGGACCAGCATGCTATATGGTTGATACTGGGCATATGGCTGGGCTGGAAGGAGAGGAGGCCTTCCAGACTGGGGAACAACACGTAGAAGGAAAGGCTCAGAGCCCAGGCACTAAAAGTTCCATCGGGCTTGGGGAGGGGCGGGGTGGATGTTTGCCTGGAGCTGGGGTTGGTGTGGCTGATCTCAGGCCAGGCATTCTAGAACTTTCCTGACGAACCCATCCCAGATATCCCCCTCTCTCCACAGGATGAAGCCGTAGAACGCTGCAGCCTCCCAGAGCCTCCCCGAGAGCACTTTGGACAGCGGATCCTAGTGAAGTGTCTGTCACTCAAGTGAGTCAGAGGACAGCCAGCACGGGTTTCCCTGTGAGGACATCATGGACTTTTCCTTCCCTCTCAGAAGGCACAGGTGCCTATACACGATGCCTGCGCATCAGCACACGTGGTGCATGCACACATGCTCACACACATTGTCACACACACACTCACGTTCTCACATACTCACACACTCAATCTTACACACTCACATGTCACACACTCACGTTCTCACATACTCACACTCCTTCTGACACACTCACATTCACACACACATGCTCACACGCTCACATACACACATTGTCACACACACTCACGTTCTCAATACTCTCACACACTCATTCTCACACACTCACACACATTGTCACACACACTCACGTTCTCAATACTCCCCCACACTCATTCTCACACGCTCACATACACACATTGTCACACACACTCACGTTCTTAATACTCTCACACACTCATTCTTACACACACACACATTGTCACACACACACTCACGTTCTCAATACTCCCCCACACTCTCATTCTCACACACTCACACACATTGTCACACACACACTCACGTTCTCAATACTCCCCCACACTCTCATTCTCACACACTCACACACATTGTCACACACACACACTCATTCTCACACACTCACACACATTGTCACACACACACTCACGTTCTCAATACTCCCCCACACTCTCATTCTCACACACTCACACACATTGTCACACACACACTCATGCTCACACGCTCACACACTCATTCTCACACACTCACACACATTGTCACACACACTCTCATGCTCACACGCTCACACACATTGTCACACACACTCACGTTCTCAATACTCTCACACACTCATTCTCACACACTCACACACATTGTCACACACACTCTCATGCTCACACACTCACACACATTGTCACACACACTCATTCTCACACACTCACACACATTGTCACACACACTCTCATGCTCACACACTCACACACATTGTCACACACACTCATTCTCACACACTCACACACATTGTCACACACACTCTCATGCTCACACGCTCACACTCTCATTCTCACACACTCACACACATTGTCACACACACACTCATTCTCACACACTCACACACATTGTCACACACACTCTCATGCTCACACGCTCACACACTCATTCTCACACACTCACACACATTGTCACACACACTCTCATGCTCACACGCTCACACACATTGTCACACACACTCACGTTCTCAATACTCTCACACACTCATTCTCACACACTCACACACATTGTCACACACACTCTCATGCTCACACACTCACACACATTGTCACACACACACTCATTCTCACACACTCACACACATTGTCACACACACTCTCATGCTCACACGCTCACACACTCATTCTCACACACTCACACACATTGTCACACACACTCACGTTCTCAATACTCTCACACACTCATTCTCACACACTCACACACATTGTCACACACACTCTCATGCTCACACACTCACACACATTGTCACACACACACTCATGCTCACATGCTCACACACCCATCTTCCACTCCGCCAGCCCCCTCACTAGCTGTCTTAGCTCCAGCCCCCTCCCTGAGACACTGCCATGCTTCATCCTATTCCCTGGTCTTCAGCTATTCCCAAAGCTCCTCCCTCTGAGCCCCAAGGCCTCCTCCAAGCGTCTGTCATCCAGGTCTGCGTGATCCACTCCGCCATTCTGTGTCCTGTGTACAACAGGACACAGTCAGTGAGTGAGTGCTGAATGACCGACCACGTGAGCCGACAGCTTCATTCCTAACTTTTGAGCTTGGGGCTGAGGACCAGGATGGAACTTCTGTTTCCTGCTCTGATCCAGACAGAAATGGGGTCCAGGAGGGGCAGGGCCAGGCTGAGTGCACTTCCTGTTGGATCCCATTCCCACGCTCTTCTGGCTGCTCCTGATGGGCCTTGCAGGGTGGCTGGGAGCCAGGCTCCACCTCTCTCCCTGTGCCCCAGCAGGAGGTGGGCAGGCCAGAGCCAGACCCTTGCTTTTATAAGTGTCATGATCTGAAGCAGGACACAAGTGCTGTTCTGTGCCTCAGTTTACCATCTACACTCACTTCACGGGGGGGGGGGAGGGTCTGATGAGCTCATGTAGGCACAGAGCTGCCTGAGATAGTAGGAAGTCTCGTGTCCCCATAAAAGCCTACAGAGGAGCTGGGGTGTGGCCAGCAGAGGAGCTGGGGTGTGGCCAGCAGAGGAGCTGGGGTGTGGCCAGCAGGGGAGCTGGGGTGTGGCCAGCAGAGGACCTGGGGTGTGGCCAGCAGAGGACCTGGGGTGTGGCCAGCAGGGGAGCTGGGGTGTGGCCAGCAGGCAGGGTGCTGGCCCAGCGTGCACGAAGTCCTGGGCTCTGTCCACAGCACTGCATAGACACAGTGTGATGGTGCAGGCCTGCAACCCAGTGCCTGAGAGGCAGAGGCAGGAGAGTTGGGAATATGGGGTCCTTCTTGGGCACATAAGGAGTTGGAAGTTAGCCTGGGCTAAGTCAGACCCTGTGCCCAAAGGGGGGAAAAGAGAGGGTGCAGAGTATGTGGGTGACAGCTGTCACATAGCAGCAGAGTGGTTCCCATTTACCCTCAGGTTTGAGATTGAAATTGAGCCCATCTTTGGCACCTTGGCCCTGTATGATGTACGAGAGAAAAAGAAGGTAGGAACCCATCCCTGCTCCCCCCTCTTTCCCTTTTCCTCCCTGGGTATCTCCCTGTCCTCTCTCCTCTTCCTCCTCCTCCTCCCTCCCTTTTCCTCCTCGGTGTGTGGGGAGCAGGGAGGGCTGTGGAGCAGTGTCTCCCAGCTAGCTGCCTCTCATATCTCCAGATTTCAGAAAACTTCTACTTCGACCTAAACTCGGACTCCGTGAAGGGACTGCTCCGGGCCCATGGCACCCACCCGGCCATCTCCACCTTGGCACGCTCTGCCATCTTCTCTGTGACCTACCCCTCCCCTGACATCTTCCTGGTTGTCAAGGTGCTCGCCCACTGGGGCCCTGCAAGGGGATCGTACCATGATCAGAGCCAGAGGTTCAGTGGGGTAGACTGACTCTGGCACTTGGAGGCTGAGGCAGGGAGATTGTGAGTTTGAGCCAGATTCAACTGCTTATAGGAACTTTGTCTTATATGCAAACAAAACAGTTTCGTGTGCCTCTGTGGATGGGGCAGGAAAAGTGAGCTAGTGAATTCTGAGATTTCTTTTGGTCAAGGTTAGGTTACAGCAAGAAACAAATTACCAGCTCTTGAAGATGCAGGTTGCAGTGGGGGAACCAGGCACAGAGCATGTAAGGACCTTGCCTAGGGTCCCACAACTCTTGAGGTGTTACATACTGGAGTTCCTAGCCTGTCATTCAGTCGTGGCTTCACATGTGTGATGGCATATGCCTGTAAGCCTGGCTGCCAGGGCCGCTGAGGATTCTACTGGGCAGGACCTGGGGTCAGAAACTGAATCGGAGGCCATGGAGGGGTGCAGCTTGCTTACTGGCTGGCTTTTCCTGACTGGCCAGCCTGCTTTCTTATACGCCCTGGGACCACCTGCTCAGGGCCACACCAGCCACAGGGAAGCCTCCCACACCAATCATTAATCAAGAAAACCACAGACTGGCTTTCAGGCCAGTTTGAGGGGAGATGTTTTCTTTGTTGAAGTTCCCTCTTTGCAGATATCCCTGGCAGGTTTCAAGCTGACAAAAAGCCAACCAGAACACAGGAGGATTGCAAATCTGAGTCCTGCCCAGGAGACTCAGTTTCAAAATAAAAATGGAAAAGGGCAGGGCTCAAGAGTAGATGTTTTCCCAGAATCCTCCAGTGAGGGCCTGGGGGCATGGCTCAGTGGTACCGTGCTTACCTAGTGTTTGGGAGGCCCTGGTTTCCATCATCCCCAGTATAAGAAGGATAAAGAGGTGATGGTGCCACACCCCTGATCCCAGCTCTCGGGAGGCAGAGGCAGGAGAATCTCAGTGAGTCTGAGGCCAGCCAGGTCTACAGAGTGAATTCCAGGACAGCCTCCAAAGCTACAGAGAAACCCTGTCTTGAAAAACCAAAAAAAAAAAAAAGAAGAAAGAAAGAAAGGAAAGTTAAAGTCACCTCCAACTACACAGTGTGAACCTGTCCCAAAATAAGAGAGAGAAATGGGGTTGGTGCTGGAGAAATGCCTTAGCAATTGAGGTCACCCACTGTTCCTGCTGAAGACCTTTGTTCCTTTCCCAGCACCCATGCTGGGTCAATACACTGCCCTCTCCTGGCCACTATGGGCTCTGCACTTACACTCAGACGCTTGCATAATTAACAATAAAATCTGTTCAGAAAGTGAGAAACAGCTGGGCATAGAGGTGCATGCCTTAAACACAGCACTGGGAGGGCAGAGGCAGATGGATATCTGTGAGTTCGAAGCCTGTGTAGAGAATTCCAAGACAGCCAGAGCTACATAGTGAGATCTCAAAAACAAATGGAACAAAAAAAAAAAAAGAAAGAAAGAAAGAAAGAAAGAAAGAAAGAAAGAAAGAAAGAAAGAAAAAGAAAGAAAGAAAGAAAACAAGGCAGGGAAGGGGAATGTAGAGAAAGCATCAACAGCTTAACGTGGCACGGTGGAGTGAAGGGGTTGAGACTGCTGAAAACGGAGCTGCTGGCAGACAGTGTGCTCGAAGTCAGCCCAGGACAGAGGAGCCATGGGAGCTGTCGGTATGGCCGTGGTAGAGGTTTGCTAGGCTGCAGGAGTCCTGGGTTCATCCTCAGGCTTGAATGGAGCCCCTGGCTGGGTGATTGGAGTGTCTGTGGGTCAAGGGCAGGGTTAAGGAGCCCCTGGCTGGGTCCTTTTGCCCTACAGCTAGAGAAGGTGCTTCAGCAGGGGGACATCAGCGAGTGCTGCGAGCCCTACATGGTGATGAAGGAGGCTGATGCAGTGAAGGTGGGTGTGGGTGAGCTGGACGGTGGGGGGCAGGTCCTGAGGGTACTGCACAGGGGACAGACGCTGAGCTGGGAGCTGGGTGCATCTCCCCACAGAACAAAGAGAAGTTGGAGAGGCTGCGCCTGGCCGCCGAGCAGTTCTGCACCAGGCTGGGCCGCTACCGCATGCCCTTCGCCTGGACCGCTGTGCACCTGGCCAACATCGTGAGCAGCGTTGGGCCCCAGGACCGGGATTCCGACTCCGAGGGTGGTAAGGACGCACGCCAGCCCAGCCGCTTGCTAGCTCGCACCATCATTACACTCCCTTTCTCTGCTACCATTGTCCCTCTATGTCCCTCTAATTCCTGTGATTACCCCCCACCCCCCACCCCCGCTGCCACCATGCCTCCTTTCCTAGAGCGCAAACCTACTTGGGCAGAACGCCGCCGTCGGGGGCCCCAGGATCGAGGCGGTAGTGGAGATGATGCTTGCAGCTTCTCCAGCTTCCGCCCGGCCACGTTAACTGTCACCAACTTCTTTAAACAGGTGACCTGGTGTAGGACAAGGGGCCTGGGAGGAAGGGAACACAGGGATTCTTCCCCTGGGGCTCCATCCTTGTTGGGGACTTTCAGCCCCTTAATTCCGGGAACCTCTAACTGGCAGGAGGCTGAACGGCTTAGTGATGAGGACCTTTTCAAGTTTCTGGCGGACATGCGGCGACCTTCGTCCCTGCTGAGGCGTTTGCGACCAGTGACTGGTGCGTGGCACACCCTACAAAGGAGAGCTGTTGCTCACACAGTCATTAGCAGACCATTCTGGGGTGCTGGGGACTCAGCCCCGGGCCTGCAGTTGGGGTTGGGCTTGCTTCTAGTGGGACAGCCCCCGGAAGACACCAGGGAATAGGCAGAGCCCCAGCAGAAGTGCCCGGGCGTCGGAGGCTGAGACCGGTAACAGCCAAGTTCTTTCTTCCCAGCTCAGCTCAAGATTGACATCTCCCCAGCACCAGAGAGCCTACACTTCTGCCTGTCCCCCGAGTTACTGCACATCAAGCCCTACCCAGACCCCAGAGGGCGCCCCACCAAGGAGGTTCTGGAGTTCCCTGCCCGAGAGGTCTATGCCCCCCATACTTGCTACAGGTACAGCCTCTGGGGCTTGTGGGGCCCCATGCTTCATGTGCGCGCATGCGCACACACGTGTTTATGCTTTCTGTTGCGTGGGGGTGCTCAGATGTATCTGAGTGAATGCCTGCATGTGTATGGGCAGATGTGGGTGCTGTTCTTCAGGAGTTATCCACTGGTATTAAGAGGGGTTTTTTGGTCGTTTTATCATATTTATTCACTTTATTTGTTGGGGGAAGGGCAGCACACAGAGCAAGTGCGGAGGTCAGCGGATACGTTGTAGAATCAGTTCTTAACCACTGGGTTAGTTCTGAGGCTGGGACTCATTGCCAGGCTGTGGTGACACATTTACCCTCTGAGCCATCTCAGTACCCCATCTTTTTTCTTCAATGCTTATTATTATTATTTGTTGAGATAGGCTGGCCTGTGACTCAGAGACTGCCTCCCAAGTCCTGGGGTAAAAAGAGTGCATTACCATACACGCCTGGATTTTATTGTTTTTAGTTCTCTCTCTCTCTCTCTCTCTCTCTCTCTCTCTCTCTCTCTCTCTCTCTCTCTCTCTCTCTCTCTGTGTGTGTGTCTGTGTGGGAATGTGTGTGTGTGTGTCTGTCTGTCTGTGTCTGTGCGGGAATGTGTGTGTGTGTCTGTCTGTCTGTCTGTCTGTGTCTGTGCGGGAATGTGCACCTGTATAGGTACAGGCTCCTGCGTGTGGGAGTGCGCACCCGTGTGAGGTGCTCAGGTGACAGACACTTTGGATCCCTGGGAGTTGGAGTTGCAGGTGGTTGTAAGCCACCTGGCACGAGTGATGGATGACTTAAATGTGGGTGTGTCCTCTGCGGGAGCAATATGTGCTCTCACCCAGAGCCTTCAGACAGGGTCTCTCACGGCCTGGAACTTGCCAGCTAGGATAGGCTGCCTGGGAATCCTGCCTCTGCCTCCCCATGAACCCCTGATCCTCCTGCCTCTGCCTCCCCATGAACCCCTGATCCTCCTGCCTCTGCCTCCCCATGAACCCCTGATCCTCCTGCCTCTGCCTCCCCATGAACCCCTGATCCTCCTGCCTCTGCCTCCCCATGAACCCCTGATCCTCCTGCCTCTGCCTCCCCATGAACCCCTGATCCTCCTGCCTCTGCCTCCCCATGAACCCCTGATCCTCCTGCCTCTGCCTCCCCGGTGCCGAGATGGCAAGTGTGCATCAGGTTCTGTAACTGGGACCCAGGGTTTATGTATGCCAGGCAGGTACTGTGTCAGCTGAACCCCAGCCCCAGCCCCCCTTTCTTGCAGACACAGGCATAGGCGCTCAGCATAGACAGGCTCTGTTCTGTTTTATTGGGGTGTGGGCATAGGGACTCCTGTACTCCTCCAGTCCTCTTCCACGGGACTCTGTCTTCTGCCTGCCATCCCGCCTGCTCCCTTCTGTCTCCGCTCTGTCAGGAATCGGAGTGCACTGACCAAGCCCAGCCGGTGGGCAGCCAGCTCTGTCTGCCCTGCTCGGGGCTCTGGCGGAGCACATTCAATGTTCCCAGCAGCACGATTGGTTCTCATGCCGTCCAGGCCGTCTCAGGCCGGGAGGGCTGCCGTGTGAAGTCTAGAGAGGGGGACAGCTCAGTCAAGTCCAGTGTAGGGTGGGGACACCGTTCAGTGGACTTAGGCACCACCACCCTGCCACCCTAGTGCGAGTCCCCGTCAGACTCACCTCTCCTGGATCTGTCGCAGCCACACCTGCTGCTCTGCTATCTCCCGATGCTGTCGCTGCACGTGGCCCGTGAGCGCCCATACAAGGTGGCTCTGTTTATCAGCTCGAGCCTGTGGGGTAGCATATAGACATTAGCTGGGGGCTCTGGTTCATCTCCTCTCTTCCTGACCACTGCCAGGTCTCTCTGTTACAATCCACATGACCCAGCAAATGTCGAAGACCATATGGCCTCAGTTTCCCCATTTGTAAAGTGTATCTAAGATCTAAGATAGGACTTGCTTTGTATGATTTGTAAAAAGGCATCAGATAGCACTGACTGGGTTCTCAGTATACAGCATACATGGTAATAAGCATTTATTGAGCAACCACTGTGTCCATTGCCCCTGCAGTGGGAGGCTCTAGCTTTGCTCTGAAGTCATTGTTACTATTATTTTATTGTAAAATTTATTCTATCTAGTGTGTGTATGTGCTATAGCACAGATGTGGGAATCAAGGGACAGCTAGGGAGTGGGACCCACCATGTGGGTTGTAGGCATGGAGCTCAGGTCATTGGGCTTGGCTTCAAGCCTCTACCTGCCAGTCCCATTATTCGGTCATTTATCTGTTTTGAGACAGGGTCTCATGTAGCACGAGCTTAACTTGGACGTCTTTCTAGCCGGAGACCACCCTGGCCTCCTGACCATCAAGCCTTTAATGCCAAGAGCTGGGGTTGCGTCGTCACACCCAGTCATCCTCCCTTTGTTCTTGTTGAGACCGGGTGTCTGTCCCCATGCAGCCCAGGCTGGCCTCTGACTATGTAGACAAGACTGGCTTTAAATTTCTGCTCCCCCTGCCCCTGCCTCTAGGGTTCTGGGGTCACAGGCAAATACCACCATGCCTGGTCCTGGGAAAACTGAGGTCAAGACGGTCGCTGAGAGTAGAATCCCGTATACAACTGGGAGCAGGGTCCTCTAGCTCAGCATTCACAGGTGGGCAGGGCTGTGCCCCTCAGACCCGGGAGTCCCTTACCTTTAAGGTTTCAAATTCTTGGTGGGCTTGGCCCAGCCAGGCACTCCTCAGCTGGACCTGTAGTCTCCGCACAGCGTCCCGCAGAGCTTGCTGGGCCTGGGCCACCTCCCCCAGCGATCGGGCTGTGGCCTCTGCTCGAAGGTGTAAAGCGTCCTCTTCAACCTGCTCAACAGGCGGCGTGGTGTCAGCTCTGCCCACCCAGGACTTATCACTTTCCCTCTACTGTGATGACAGTGGACACTCTTGACTTAACTTCTCCTCAGACCCTTACCCATCCAGCGACACCCCGGCTCCAGTGCCCACCTGGATCTCCGACAAGCTGGTGCGAAGCTCCTGTGTTGCATCCCGGCTGTGCCTGACCTCTGTTCCCAGGAGTCCCAGAGCTCTGTCAAAGAGGCCCAGGCTGTGCCCAGCTTCTGTCAGACGTGCCTCTGTGGCTCTGTACACACTGTTGAGGGCCTGGCCTAGCTGTAAAGCCCCATGAAAGAGCAGGGTCAGCTCTTCATATTGAGCTGGTTCTGGGGCACCCAGAGGAGCCACGGGGGCAGGTCGCACTGCTGATGCTAAGGCCCACAGGAGGCAGAGAGCTAGCACAGCCATGGCTCAGGGCCTAGGGGTGTGTTCTTATGCCAGTGCGGGCCACCTTTTATTTCCACAGGCTGCCACTAACCCCCTCTCCCTGGTCAATGGTTAGCCAGCCATGGTTGCACAAGGGCCTGGCAGGGGTGCAAGCCATTGCATCAGGCTGACGGCTAAGCAGGCCACGCTGATATCACGCTGGCTGGAACTCACGGCCAGCTGGGGTGGGGGTGCGGGGGGAGCCCCGATGCCCCGATCTTAGACCTCAGCACCAGGGCCTGTCTGACTACAGAATGCCTTGACCCTCAGTTTCCCATCTAAGCCCAGGCGTGGCCTCTGTGAGCCACGGCTGTCTACACACCAACACAGGAGGGCACTGCCTGCTCTGGGCCACCCACAGGGGCCACTGGAACAGGCTAGAGTCTCGTGACTGTCAGCCATTTACATGGGCTCCAGGCATCGTGCGTTGGTCACCTGCTTCCCTTGTCTCCTTGCGAGGGGTCGCCGTGGGTGTGGCTGACAGCTGGAGGGAGTGCAAGCGTGACATGGCAGTCCCCTCCCGAGGTTGTGGAGCCTGGCTCCTGGTCCAGTCTGTGCTTGGTGCTAAGTTAAATCGAGGAGCAAGTGCTGTACCTCATCTTGCACCTAGGGGGTCCCACGTGCTTTGTTGAGCACCTGCCATGTGCACTCGGAAAGAAAAGCCATTGACTGCAAATGGAAAGTTAGTCCATAAGTCAGATGCAATGGCCCATGTCTATCCCACACTGGGGAGGCTGGGGCAGGAGGGACTTGAGTTCAAGGCCAACCTGGCCTACAGAACTAGACCCTGCTTGTCTCAAGAAAACAAGGGCTGAGGTAAAGCTCAGAGGTGGGTGGCTTGCTGGGCTTGCCAGGCTCTGTGTCCCCATCAGCACAGGAAATGGCCATTTATGGTGAGTGTTTGGAGTGGGGCTTGACACCCAGAGGGTGCCCCAGAGGTGTGCTGTGTGATGACTGTCACTGTGTGATAACCGAGGTTATTGGTTGTTGGTATTGTGCTACCACGTGCCCCATTATACAGATAGAGCAACCGAGGCCTGCAGGGTTGGGGGCTGTGCAGTGTGTTGGGGAAAGGGGGCAGGACCAGGACTCCGGCATCCACCTGAGAGACAGCCTCTATGTGACTGCAGTGGGGCGGGGTGGCGGTGAGGAGGGCGGCCGTTCCTGGCTGTCTGGACCACCTTTTGAAACGGCTTGTTTATCGTTTTAATCAGATGTGTTTAGGGGCAGGGTCTGAGCGCAGGTGCCCAAGGAGGCATCAGGTCCCCTGGAGCTGCCTGATGAGGGTGCTGTTGACTGCTCGACCACTTCTCCAGGACCCAGGCTGCCGTTAGGGGCCTCAGCCATGTGCAGCTGGAGGGGTGCTCAGCCTGCAGAGTGCACACAAAAGCCTGTTCTGTCCCCAGTACTTGATACACCAGGAGTGCTGTCACATGCTGTCATCCCAGCACAATGGAGGTGCAGACAGGAAGTTAAGTGCTTAAAATCATCCTGAGTAAATAACAGACTCAAATCTGCCCGGGTTACATGAGAACGTGTCTCCAATGCCTGTTGCTGCTGCTGTTTGGTTTTGTTTTTTCCTAAGACAAGGTCTCTCTATGTAGCTTTGGCTGGCCTAGAACTTGCTATGTAGACCAGGATGAATTCGAATTAAAAAAAACAAAAACAAAAAAAAAAAACAAACCCTGGCTCTCAGTGCCCATCTGTGCCTGGCCTTGTACATCCCTGACTCTAGATGTGTGCATCAAGAGGTTTCATCTGCTGGCAGTGGTGGCGCACGCCTTTAATGCCAGCACTAGGGAGGCAGAGGCAGGAGGATCTCTGTGAGTTCGAGGCCAGCCTGGTCTACAAGTGCTAGTTCCAGGACAGCCAGAACTGTTACACAGAGAAACTCTGTCTCGAAAAACAAAACAACGACAACAACAAAAAGAGGATTTGTGTATCCATGACCCTCTGTGGTGTCTGGATCACAGCCCCCCTGTCCTAAGTGCGCCTGCTTCACGGCCCTCTTCCCCGTGACCAAGTCTCCAGCCTCTCAGGCCCCACCCCTCCCGTTCCTCCTCTTGCAGGAACCTGCTCTTCGTGTACCCACACAGCCTCAATTTCAGCAGTCGTCAGGGCTCCGTGCGCAACCTGGCCGTGCGGATCCAGTACATGGCCGGCGAGGACCAAAGCCAGGCCTTGCCGGTCAGTGCAGTGACCCCGCTCTGGGGGGAAAGGGTGGGTGGAGAGGCATAGGTTGTCTCTGGTGGGTCCCTCACGTCACACCTCCCGCAGGTCATCTTTGGGAAATCTAGCTGTAGCGAATTCGCCCGAGAGGCCTTCACACCAGTGATCTATCACAACAAGTATGCAGGGCTGGGTGTGGATGACATGGACTGACCCTGGGGACTCTGAGAGGGTCAGGGTGGCCGGGGGTAGGAGAGCATGCGTGGAGCAGGAAGAGGGGAGGCTTAAGTCTCGGTATGAGGTAAGTTGAGGCAGGGAGTCATCCTATAAGATCCCCACTCGCTAGCTGGCCCCCAGCCCCTGGTCCTATCTTACCAGGTCTCCTGAGTTCTACGAGGAATTCAAGCTGCGAGTTCCCGCCTGCGTGACCGAGAACCATCACCTGTTTTTTACCTTCTATCACGTCAGCTGCCAGCCCCGGCCAGGAGCACCCCTGGAGACGCCTGTGGGCTTCACTGTGAGCTACCGTAACCCCACAGCTTCCTTCCTGCCCCCAGGGCCCCCAGCCATACCTGATCCTCATCCATTCTCCCCAGTGGATCCCTCTGCTGCAACATGGCCGCCTGCGGACTGGCCCCTTCTGCCTGCCTGTGTCAGTGGACCAGCCTCCACCCAGCTACTCAGTCCTGACCCCCGATGTACGTGCCTGTGCCCCCAACACCGATGCCTTCATTGCTCTCTAGTCCTCACAGCTCCCTGCCTGCCTCCCTCAATGCCCTGGAGAGTCTTGCTAAACTTAATGGGCACTTGTGGTCCCTGCGCCTCCGCCACCCCCACAGAGTGTCTCTGAGGCGCCTGCACCCCATGTGTCTCTTTCTGTACCCAGCCTGCCCTCTCCTCTATCGCTGTCCCCCAGCCCCTCTGTTCCATTAACAGCCCTGCCTTTGTGATTTAAAGAAAAAACATACTTGTTATTTTGGGAATGTGTCTCATGTGCCTTGGGAAGTGTGTGAAAGTCAGAGAATATCTTTGTGGAGTACATTCTATGCCTGCCATGCAGGTCCTAGGGCTTAGAGCAGTCATTAGACTTAGCGTTGAGAGCCTCTGCCCGCTGGAACATCTTGATGGCCCTGGGTTTTCGTTTTGGAATTCTGTGTAGTCAAGGATGACTTTGAGCCCTTGCCTCTGTCTCCCAAGCACCCCCTCCATCTGCCCCATTATAGTGCTAGCACCCTTCCCCTCTACTAGCTAGTGAACAAGTCTGACGGTTTCAAGTTCCCCCCAAATGCTATTCCTAGGTCATTGCTTTTTCTAATTAATGTTCACTCTGAACATACCCCCACACACACACTTTCTGTGGTTTTCCAGACTAGGGCTCTCCCTTAGGGACAGGGTACCCTGCTGCTCCCTCAGACTGGGCTTTCTGGCCATGGTGTTGCAATGGCTAGGGCCACAGCCTAGCCCGGTGGCCTGATGCGTGGGGGAGGGTCAGCCTGTGCCCACCCCGCCTCTCCCTCCCACAGGTGGCGCTGCCGGGCATGCGCTGGGTGGACGGTCACAAGGGTGTGTTCAGTGTGGAGCTCACAACCGTGTCGTCCGTGCACCCCCAGGTACAGAGTAAGATGAGAACCCAGGCTCCCCGGCCCGTTCCCCTCCTGCTTAACTTGGGGTTGAGCAAGACTTGCTTGCAACTGGCTGGCAAAGGTCTGGCCTTCATCCACTGGGCATGACTTTAGTCCCTCTGATCCAGACTGCTGACTCAGGCGGGGGGGGGCGGACATACACCCCACCCCTCCCCCTCTCTGCTCACTCCATGCCCTTCCCTCTCCTTAGGACCCCCACTTGGATAAGTTCTTCACCCTGGTGCATGTTCTACAAGAAGGGACCTTTCCATTCCGGCTCAAGGAGACGGTGCTGAGTGAGGCGACTATGGAGCAGGAGCTGCGAGCCAGCTTGGCGGCTCTGCGCCTCGCCAGCCCAGAGCCCCTTGTGGCCTTTTCCCACCACGTTCTAGACAAGCTTGTCCGCCTGGTTGTGCGGCCACCGGTCATTGGTGGCCAGATAGGTGAGCCACTGTGGTCTCAGGCCTGTTTCTGGAAAGCTACTCCGCCTTCCCCCAACCTGAGTGCCCTCCTATAGTCCATTGGTTTTCCTGAACTCCCAGAGCACCCCGGCGCAAGTCCTTTAAGATCCAATGAGCTCCCGTACCTTATCTGCCCTCTCCTCCTCTGAGGTGAGTGGGGGCCTGAAAGGCTTTGGGCTGTGGAACTTGACCTTCGCTCTGTCCGACAGTGAACCTGGGCCGAGGGGCCTTTGAAGCTATGGCTCATGTAGCCAGCCTTGTGCACCGGAGCCTGGAGGCCGTCCAAGATTCCCGTGGCCACTGCCCACTGCTGGCTGCCTATGTCCATTATGCCTTTCGGCTCCCTGGCGGAGACCTCAGCCTACCAGGTGGTGAGTGTGGACGGAGAACGTGGGACCACAGGAAATATGGGTGTGAACAGTACACTAAGCAGAAGAGTAACATCTGCAAAGCCCCCAGGGCCTCCCTGGGGTGACTTAGGAGGTAGACACCTTCTTACCCAGTTGGCTCTGGCCCCAGGCCAGGTTTCTGTACACTCGACCCACAACTGGATCAGCCCATCAGCAAGATGCTGAGCCTGGTTTTGAGTGTCCTAGACACTGTATGATCCTGGTCTTTACCTCTCTGAGCCTGTTTTCCCTTTATTTATTTGTTCATTTGTTTTTTTTAATTAATTAATTTATTTAACATATAGCATTCTGCCTGCATGTATGTCTTTTCAGGCCTGAAGAGGGCACCAGGTCTCATTATAGATGGTTGTGAGCCACCATGTGGTTGCTGGGAATTGAACTCAGGACCTTTGGAAGAGCAGTCAGTGCTCTTAACCACTGAGCCATCTCTCCAGCCCTTCTTTTCCCATTTTAAAGGAGGCACTGATGGTGTTCAGTTCTGATAGTCACAGATGACCCTAACCGTGGGACCCAGGCCCTGAGAATGTGGCTCAGGGGCATGCCTGGGGTTTGAACCTCAGCACCAGAAAAAGGTGGTGAGGGGCGCAGAGGGAGGACAGAAAGGGAGAGAGGGAAGGAAGGAGGACAGGGAGGGAGGGGCTCCGGCTGGGGTGCAGCTCCTGTAGTGTAACTGTTGAGCCTGCCCAAGACCTTGGGTTTCGTCCCCAGCACTGAAAGAGAAGTTAGATTTTCCCCATTTGTACATAATGAACCTGTAGGCACTAGTCTCTGTTCCCAGTGTGTTCTCTGAAGCAGTAACCACGTTTGACTCCATTTTACAGTGAGAACGTGGAAACTCAGAGAGGAAAGCTGCTTCACCCAGGGGCTGGTGTCGTCCTGGCAGGTGTTAAGCTGACGGTTCCCTCTCTCCTCAGGGGTCGCTCCAGCAACTGTACAGGCTGCTACACTGGCCCGAGGCGCTGGCCGCCCCACCAGCCTCTACCTGACACGCTCTAAGAGCATCAGCAGCAGCAACCCTGACCTGGCCGTGGTCCCTGGCTCTGTGGATGATGAGGTGTCCCGCATCCTAGCCACCAAGGTAGGGCAAGGGGGCCTGAAGCCTCCAGCCTCCGGGGCCTGGCTGCAGGCTCGGTGGGTGAAGAACCTCCTTGCAGATGGAGGTAGAAAAGCCAGAAGTCACTGTTCAGAGGAAGGGCTGTCCCTGCTGTGTGGTCACGCTGAGGCTCTCACAGCTACAGGGTTGCTCCGGGGGTTCTGCACTGTTCAGTTGACTGGAGAATGAGGGGAAAGGGTTTGGCCTGGCACATGGTTTAGCAGCCTGTGTACACAAATACAAAAGTGTGTGTACATATGCAGCCTGTGTACACTAATAGGAAGAGGTATGTATGCATGTCCCTTGTACATATGTGCACAAATACACAGACACATGTAGCCTATGTGCACACATACATTGATTTATGCACACAGTGCACATACACATATACCCCATGCATATGCATGCATGTACTAGCCAATGCACAAGTGCATGTGAACAGGCCCCATGTGCTTATACATATTTGTGTATGTACATGTTCTCCATGCTCATATCTACATGGGTTCAAATGCTCATGCACTCTAGGCAGTTATACATTACATGAACACATGCACGCCGCACATGTCCCAGGTATATGCATGGCACATGTGTGCTCTGGGGCGGTGTCTACACTTGGTCTCCCATACCTCCGTTCCTGTGCTCAGCCTGGGACATCATCCCTTCTCTGTGTGTCTTCAGGGTGTCGATCGCTCACACTCCTGGGTGAACTCTGCTTATGCTCCGGGAGGCAGCAAGGCTGTGTTGCGGCGGGTGCCCCCGTACTGTGGGGCTGACCCCAGACAGGTGCTCTCCCTATCTGCCCCGACATCTGCGTCACCTTTGCATGAGTTCTTCCTACTTTCCCGGCTGTAGTGAACTAACCCTGAGGGAAAGCAAGGACCCCGCGTGACTGTGTCTGGGGCTGTGGCGGTCAGTGTTATAGATAAAGATATAGATGTAGACATAGACATAGACATAGGTATAGATATAGACATAGTCATAGACATAGGTATAGACGTAGACGTAGACATAGACATAGGTCAGCCTAATGGGCCTTGTGCTGCACATAGGCCACTGTGTGGTTTGGGGTGTGACTCAGTGGCAGAGTTCTTTAATACCAGGCATGAGGTTCTGGGTTCCATCCCCAGCACCACCAAGAAGTAAAATTAAGATTAAGAAGCAAGACTAGGCAGTGTCGGTGCCCATGAGAGACAGAGGCAGGCAGAGCTCTGTGGGTTTAAGGCCAGCCTGCTCTACATGGTGAGTTGGAGGCCCTCCAGGGCTGCACAGTGAGACCCTGTCTTAGCAAATGAACAAAAAACATTGAGGAAAAACATAGACCCTAGCCCCAGAAGACACAGAAGACTCTGTGGTGGTATGTAAATGGGTGCAAGTCATATGTTAATCTACCCACCTATAACTTCACTACTCTGCATGGCCGTTCCCCACCCTTTAACCACTTCTTCTTTAGGGAACTTCTAACCATCCCCTTGGCGTAGACAACCCTTATGAGGGTGAAGTAGCTCTGGACCCCAATAGTTCCCCATCTGTTTTCATACAAGGGTTTCCCCAACTTGCCTCCTTCCCAGGGACCTGGTATGGGGAGGGCTTTACCTGCAGTAGGCCTGGACTCCATTCCCTCTTAGCTCAGATCTTGTCCTGTGCCCCAGCTAATTGGCTGCCTCTCTGAACCTCTCAATTTAAGGTGATGATAGCACACAAAATTTTCAGGTGCCTGCCTGTAATCCCAACTCTTGGGAGGTAGAAGCAGGAGTTCAAGGTCACCCTGGGCTACATGGAAGTTTTAAGGCAGCCTCGGCTACATCATTTCTCACCTCAGCAAAAAACCAACAAAAGACTCTCAGTAAAGTGCTCAGCAACATGGTCCCAGGCATGGGCATAGGGTAGGGCCCAGGGGTGTCTCCCTGAGCTGCAGCAGGCACCCCAGAAATAGACACCCATCAAACAAGTGAGCGGCTCAGAAGTGCCCGCACAGGTGCTTCAGCAGCCGAAGCTGGGCCTCAGCAAGCAGAGCGCTGGTCGAGCATACACGTAGCCCTGGGTTCCATCCCTAGGACCACAGAAACCAAGCGTGGTGGCACGTGCCGATAAACCTAGCCGTTGGTGACAGAGGCAGGACCATCAGTAGTAAAGTCATCCTTGGTTGCCTAGTGAGTGAGGCCAGCCTGGAGAATGAGACCCTGACCCAAAAGAAAAATGCCAGGTAGCATTCGAGTTCATTGGTAAGGCGTGTGCTCAGCCTGTGTGACTGGTCCATTCTGGGCTTGGGATGGGACCCAGGGCTTTGAGGAAGCTAGGCAAACACTACCAACTCAGGCGCAGGCCCAGCCTTCCCCCAGTATTTAAAGATACGTTAGATTTATTTATTTTATGTGTATGGGTATTTTACGTGCATATGTGTCTGTGTTGCACTTGCCTGGTGCCCTCAAATGTCCAGAAGGCGATGGTCAGTGGTGGCGCTCGCCTTTAATTCCAGCACTCGGGAGGCAGAGGCAGGAGGATCTCTGTGAGTTTGAGTTCTAGGATAGGCAGGACTGTTACATAGAGAAACCTGCCTCGAAAAACCACACACACAAAATAAATAAAAATAAAAAAGTCAAAAAGGCATCAGATCCCCTGGACCTGGAGTACAGAGAGTTGTGGGTGACCATGTGGGTGCTGGGATCTGACCCAGGTCCTTTGCAAGAGCAGCCGGTGCTCTTAACTGCTGAGCCTTCTCTCCAGTCCCTACCTCTAGCATTTTTAATCAGGGTTGTCCTCGATCTCCTGAAAGGTCAGTTAGGTCTTGGGAAGCCTAGAGGAGATGACCAGGTAGTGACAGGGTGGTGTCCCAGGCAGGAAGTGGTCTTCATAGTGTGTGGCCTGACTGAGACATGCTAAGCCAGCAGTGCATGATGGGCCATGGCTACTACAGGGTGTCCAAGTGCCGGTGGTTGAGCCAACTGCATCACTAAGCCTTTTCTCCTAACCAGAAAACCAAGGAGAGTGAAGCTTGTCCCACGGTACCCATTTCACAGAGGGGCATGCTGAGGCCCTGAGCAAGGCTGGAGCAGGAGGGCAGGCCTATAGTCCTAGCTTATACCATCATCATTGCTGTCTTACCTGTCTTCCTTTTCTTTTTCTTTGTCTCTACACACCTCCTCCATGTTCGCAAACTCCACCTGGTGGTCAAGTCCTTCCATTTAACTCTTGACCTCATCCTTGGTCCTCTGGTTCCTCTGGCCTCCTCCATCACGACTTCCTCTCCCGTGTGCAGCGGTCCCTAGACCTTTGGGCCTTGGCCAGCCATTGTCTGCTGCACCTGGCCCTCACCCCATGCATCGCCTCATCTTCACTGTCACTCGGGACTCCGTCCTTCCCAGCACACCCCTCTTCTTCTCTTTTCCCCGAGGGCTGGGGACGAAGCCCAGGCCCGTGCCCACGCAATCACAAGTACTCTGTCCCTGGGCCAAATCCCCGTCCTTGCTTTTGGTGTTTGTTGTGTGTTTTGTGGAGCGCTGTTTGGTTTGGTTGTTGTGTTTTGAGACAGATTCTTGCTGTGTAGTCCATTAGGTTGGAAGGCACAGTGTTCCTGCCTCGGTCTCCCGAGCGGAGGGATGGCGGGTATACCCCACCGCGTCCAGCTCCCTCTTTTCTCGACACATCTGACTTCAACTGCTCCTTCACCTGCCCTCACACTCGCTGCCCGTGACCTCCCATAGCACCCTGGGCGTGCCCAGTGTTCCCGTTCTACCCAGGCACCCATCACGACGACCTACCTTCCCCCAACGCCTGTGTGGGCCGCCCATTGTCTCAGTTCATTCTCTGTTACTAGAACAGAGTGCTCAAGACCAGGCCACTCTTAAAGAGTAACTGGGGGGGGGGGGGGGGGGCGCTGGAGAGCTGGCTCAGGGGTTAAGAGCACTGACTGCCCTTCCAGAGGATCCGGACTCAATTCCTAGCAGCCACATGGCAGCTCACAACTGTCTGTAACTCCAGTTCCATGGGACCTGACACCCATGGCAAAACACCAATGTAAACAAAATAAAAATGAATAAATTAAAAAAAAAGAGCTGGGTGGTGGCAGCACACACCATTAATCCCAGTATTCTGGGATTTTGAGGCTAGCCGGGGCTACACACAGAAGCCCTGTCTTGAAAACAAACAAACAAACAAACAAAGCGTAACTAGTTATTCATGCCTCTGGATGCTAAGTACTACCCCAGAGCATGGGCCTCTTCGTGCTATATCGTGTGGTGAAGGGTAGCCCGTGGTGACGGGCTGTCTCCCTTCTCTCCCCCTGCTTTCCCCTCCCTCCCTTTCTTCCTTCTCTTCCTTCCTCTTTCCTTTATTGTGAGACAAGGTTCCCCCCTTGGCTTAGAACTCACAATCCTCCTGCCTCAGCGTCCTCAGCACTAGGATCAGTGCATTCCACCTTGCCTGCCTCTCTCTTCCCCTTCTTCTAAAGCCACCCATAGTACTGTAAGGTCCCACCCTCATAGCCTTACCTAATGCCATCAGCATGGCCAGCCTGGGCTACATGAGACCCTGTCTCAAAAAAACCAAACACCAAATCTCTGAGGCGTGAATGAAGTTTCTGGAGATGTGTGCAAACCCTGACATAAGTTCCTCCCGTGTCTGTGCTGACCAAGACCCTCTGTCTCTTTTCCCACACCACACGAGCTGATCTTCCGTCCACGTAGCCTCATCTCCGTTTCTGGTCCGCACCCCTAACTCACTCTGCCATCCCATGCTCTCCATCCCATCCATCCTAGGCCATCGACCGCAACTCTAGCCGTGCCTCCTCTTACCTGGAGGCCTCCTCCTCCTCGGCCCTGCCAGCCCCTCAGCCAAGACACACTGTGCAGAAGGTAGAGGGGGGATCGGGTGACTGATGTGACATCTGCCCCACTGCCGCACAGCAAGGGGTCCAGTGCTCCTCCCCACACCCAGAGCCCAGCCAGCCTGGAGTCTGCTCTCCCTCCCTGCATGACCTCCTGCTGCTCCAACCCCCCCAACCAGGCTTCAGGCTGCGTCCCCCAAGTCATGCCTTCCTAAGGGGTGTGCGGGAGGGCGGCCCCTGGCTCCTGGTGACCCTGGCCCTGCCCACAGCTGCTGCACGAGGAGCTGGCCCTGCAGTGGGTGGTGAGCGGCAGCGCAGTTCGCGAGGTGGTCCTGCAGCACGCCTGGTTCTTCTTCCAGCTCATGGTGAGAGCTCCCCAGCCCAGGACCTTTGAGAAAAAGTGCCTTGAAAGCCCCAAGAAATGCTCTTGAGGCTCCACTGTAAGGGGAGATGGAGGTCACCTTGACAGTGACCCCCGTCTTGGAGAGGGCACGGAGCATTGAGAGGTCAGGCTTGCAGACCCCGCCCCGGGCTTGTCCTCTTCCCCAGTGCCCACTGCCCCGGGCCCCACCCGTCCATCTGCCATAACCCTCCAAGACAGAGTCCTGAATTCCCCGATCCCAGAGGCTGGGGGAAGTTAAAGTGCTTTCCACGCATGCAGGAAGAGCAGTTAGGTCCCCAGAACACAGAAAGGGCTGGAATCCTAGACTGAGGACATGTTGATCAGCCAGCCTAGTCAGACCAGGGTGCTCCAGCGTCAGTGAGACCTGTCTCAAACAAGAGGTGGACACGGGCCTCTACAGGCAAAACTCTGCATTCTAAGGCTCCACCGGTGGTCCCACTGACCAGTCAAATCCCTTCCACTGCTACCCATGCAGGCTCCACCCAGTCCTTTCCTTAGGTCCCGCCCCAGCCTTCAGGCTGCATCCGTTGGGGTCAGGGCCCCGTTCGCCCATTTTTTAAAGATTTATTTATTCGATGTATACGGTGCCCTAACTGCATGCCAGAAGAGAGCATCAGATCCCGTGATACATGGCTAAGAGTTACCATGTGGGTGCTGGGAATTGAACTCAGGTCCTCCGGAAGAGGGGCCTTTCAAGTTACACCCTGCCCACTCACCTCACCCCCAGATAAAAAGCATGGAGCTACACTTGCTCCTGGGCCAGCGATTGGACACTCCCCGCAAGCTACGCTTCCCTGGGCGCTTCCTGGACGACATTGCGGCCCTGGTGGCCTCTGTGGGCCTGGAAGTCATCACCCGAGTCCATAAGGTGAGGAGGGACTGGGGCCTCTTGGAGGAAAGAGCAGTGCTGCAGTCAGGTGCAGAGGGCCCCGTGCGTCTCTTCGCCCATGGTCGAGCTCACAGCCCTGGCTGGATGTCGAGCAAGTCCCTGCCCTCACAAAGCAGATTTAGGGAGGGGAGAGCTGAAAAGTGAGATGGGCGAGGCCTGGGAGCTACACTCGGGAGCAATGGCGAGCACAGGGCCAGGCTGCCGCTCAGCAGTGAGGGAGTGAGCATGGCTGGTGTGGAGTAACCAGAGGACACTAACGTCCTGTGCCCCTTACTTAGTACCAGTGTACAGCAGGAACATGATAAGCGATGTTGTGATACTGAGACTGATGATCATCCAGGCCCAGGATCACCAATTCCAGTCCCCACAGGGATTAGGCAAACAGTAGTCAAGATCACGGTATTGTTATGGAAACATTTATTGATCACCTTCTGCATGCTTCCAGCTGGATCATATTTACTCTCCCCAGTCACCCATGAAGTATTAATGTCATCTCTACTGATAGGGAAATCAAGGCACAAAGTGACAGACTAGTGTAACCTGGAACCATGCTGCTGGGAGAAGAGGTAAACGGATTGAATCCAAGTCACCCTCTCCTGTGGGTTGTGTGAGAGCCGGAAAGTTCCCCTCAGATAGAAACACCCAGTACGCCACTCCTCCAGCCCGTTTCTACAGAAATGTCTCCTCGTTTTTTTATTTAAAAGGATTAAGCTGGGCAGTGGTTTCACCCGCCTTTCATCCCAGCACTTGGAGGCAGAGGCGGGCAGACTCCGGACCTCAGGCTTGGCAGCAAGCTCTTTCGCCCTCTGAGCCAACTTGCGAGCCCATCTCTTCTAATTTTATTTTATTTCTAGACACAGTCTCATTGTGTAGCCCAGACTGACCTGGAACTTGCTATGTAGACCAGGCTGGCTTCAAACTCAGAGAGAACCACCTGCCTCCCAAGGGCTGAGATTAAAATCTTAGGCCAGCGTGGTCAACTCTACTGTTTTTTTTTGTTGTTGTTGTTGTTTTGTTTTGTTTTGTTTGTTTGTTTTTTGGTTTTTCTGAGACAGGGTTTCTCTGTATTGTTTTGGAGGGAGGCTGTCCTGGAACTCACGAGGTAGACCAGGCTTGGTCTCGAACTCATAGAGATCCGCCTGCCTCTGCCTCCCGAGTCCTGGGATTAAAGGCGTGCTGCACCACCGCCCGGCAACTCTCCTGGTTTTTAAGGAGAAATGTCCCTTGGGCATGTGATAGAAACATTTCAGGTTTGGGAAATGCTGCCCTCATCACACAATCCCAGTGACCTGTAAGCTGGTCCAGAGGTCCCGACCTTGGTGTCCCTGGACCAGGCCCAAGCGCTGACATTAGTGTGATGGGCACTGCGTGTTCATTCACTCCTTTGACATGGACGAGCTCCAGCCAGGCGTCATGGTGAACATCTGTGGTCCTGCATGTGAGAGAGTGAGACAGGGGAACCACAAGCTTGGGGCTAGCCTGGGCTGTGTAATATTAGCTTCTCACTTCTCCCCTGAGACTGTTGGACTATGCTTCCTTCACAGTAGATGCTCAATCGATGTTCATTAAATGATTACTGGTCGTGTACCACTAGAGCATATTAATTTGCTTGAGCACAAGGATAAGCGTTTAAACAGAACCAAAGTATCTCTCTATATAAGTAGGCTATGGGACTTCCAGAGTTTGGCCCAGGCCCTCCCAGTTCACCAGGGGTTTCAAGCAATGAAAGAGGGTACTTCACCTCTTCTCTGATCTCATTAGCTAGAACATCAGGGGCAAGAGAGCCTGGGAGTCTCCAAAGCCACAGAGAAACCCTGTCTCAAAAAACCAAAAAAAAAAAAAAAAAAAAAAAAAAAAAGAGAGCCTGGGAAATGTATTCTGTTGAACTGTGAAGTCTGGACATAGAGAGGAAAATGTCTTGTGGGGCTGGGAGTGACATAGTGGCCTTTGACCCCAGCTCTGGAGTGCAGAGGTAGGTAGCTCTCTCTGTGCTCTTGAGACCCACTCTAGGTCAGACCCCATTGCAAATAATAAAGTAAAATGAGGATTGTGAGTGGGTTGTGGAGGGGAAGTCAGGGAGGAAGACCTGGGAGTTAAGGAAGTCATGCAGAGGAGAGCTAGGCTGGGCACTATGAATATGGACTGACAGGTTCCCGTGTCCCCAGGACATGGAACTGGCTGAGCGCCTCAACGCCAGCCTGGCCCTCTTCCTCAGCGACCTCCTGTCCATAGCAGACCGAGGCTACGTCTTCAGCCTGGTGCGAGCTCACTACAAGCAGGTAGGTGTGCACGGTGGAGGATGTGGGTGTGGCAGATGTCGTCATGTGACCCGGGGATGCTGATGTCAGCCCTCCCTTGCAGGTGGCTACTCGGCTGCAGTCTGCCCCCAACCCTGCTGCGCTGCTGACCCTGCGAATGGACTTCACCCGCATCCTGTGCAGCCATGAGCACTACGTGACCCTTAACCTCCCGTGCTGTCCCCTGTCGCCCCCAGCCTCCCCCTCCCCCTCAGTGTCCTCCACTACCTCCCAGGTAGGCGGGCCTCCCCTCCCCCTCCCCCTTCCACCTTCAACCCGTCTTCTGCATCTCTGCTCGATTCCTTGTGGTCCACTGCCCTAGCACGCCCTTGACCTTTGACTTTTCATCTCTGAGTCTAGGAAAAATGACTCCTTCTGAGTCCCAAACCCAGTTCTCGGACTGGTGTCCAGTCTGCTGTTTCCTAGCCCTTTGAGTTGTGACTCCATGCTGTCTGCCACCTTGTGGATGGGCTGTCCCTGACCTCTCCCGCTGACCTTTAAAGTTTCATTTATTCTTATTTTACATGTATGACTATGCACCGCGTGTATGCCTGGTGCTGGTGGAGCCCAGAAGGCGCTGGGTTTGCTGGCTCTGGTGTTACGGACGGTTGTGAGCCGCCGTGTGGGTGCTGGGAGGCGACCCAGGTTCTGGAGGAGCAGCCGGTGCTCTCAACTGCTGAGCCGTGGCTCCCGCTGCTCGGCCTTTGACCCTGTGCCCACTGAGCACTGTTGCATTGATATTGTCATCCTACAACACGTGAGCAAAATAATGCCATGATGACACTGTCTTGTGAGATACTTTAAATTTTTAGTTGCTTTATGGGGGGCACGTATGTGCTGTGACGATAGCGTGGCACTCAGAGAACAACTTACAGGGGTCGGTTCTCTCCGCCACCGTGTGGGGAGTCAAACTCAAGAGTTTAGGCTTGGTGACTGAGCCCTCTTCCCGGCTCTTAGGAGGGAAGTAGGAAGTACCCAGGGTTAGGTCTGTGGGTTCATCTCTCCCATCCCCAAACAGTCATCTCCAGCTCTTATACTAACCTCAGCTACTGTTACTGTCACGGTAACCATGGTGGTGACCTTATCCCTCTGACCCTCGACCCTGGGCATCCACTACCCCATCTGCAGAGCTCCACCTTCTCCAGTCAGGCCCCCGACCCTAAGGTGACCAGCATGTTCGAGCTCAGTGGGCCTTTTAGGCAGCAGCATTTCCTGTCTGGACTCCTGCTGACAGAGCTGGCCCTCGCCCTGGATCCTGAAGCTGAGGGGTGAGCGAACAATGGGTCTGGGTGTGGCCACAGCAGAGCGACATGGGCCAGGAGCCGTGTGCGCACCGTGCTGAGCACTCTGTCACTCCACAGGGCACCTCTTTTGCACAAGAAGGCCGTTAGCGCCGTACATAGCCTGCTGTGCAGCCACGATGTTGACCCCCGCTACACAGAGGCTGCCGTGAAGGCCAAGGTGGCCGAGCTGTACCTGCCCCTGCTCTCCCTTGCGAGGGACACGCTGCCACGGCTGCATGGCTTTGCCGGTCAGAGGGCTGGGGAAGATGGGGTCTCATGGGCTGTGGGGTGGGAGAGTCAGAGATGGGGCAGGCTTATCAGCCCGAGGTGAGTAGCCCAGGCCAGGCTCTCATCGAGTCAAGCCAGTTACTTAGGTCTGTGAACTTGAGTCTCACCTGGAAGTGAAAGTGCTGGCATCCATCAGGATAGAGAAACCCGTGCTGTGCCAGCCCACGTTGTGAGGCCTCCTGATGACGTGTGCTGCGCTCTGAGAGGAAGGGGAGGGCTCAGAGGGAAGCTGGCAGGTGAGGGCATGGGGACCTCACTCACGCTTCTATTCTTAGCTGCAAGCGGTCCTGCACGGCATCCAGGACAAGCTAGGGTAGTCAGTCTGTTGGAGACGGGCAGGACCTGTAGAGTCACGCCTTCCCCAAGTGTGGGGGACCCCAGCTCTTTACATTTCCAACCTCCTCTCCTCTCCTGGGACTCCAGTGACTCGCGTTAGAGCGTCACTTTGTGTCACGTCTGCTGCTTTCCGTTCTCTCTCGCGTCTGCCTTTGAGCTCGCTGTGTCTCCAATCAACCCCATCTATTTAGTTCTTGGTTTTTTGTTTTCAGTGTGCGCGTGTGTGTACCTGCACGTGAGTGTGTGTGTGTACACATGCATGTGAGTGTGTGTACACATGTGTGAGTGCGTATACATGTGTAGGAGTGTTGTTTGCACATGTGTGTATACACGTGTAGGAGTGTGTGTTTGCACATGCGTATGAGTATGTATGCGTGTGCACATGCGTGTGAAGGCCCAAGCTTGAAGTCAGGAATCAGGCTTGATCGCGCTTCCACTTTGTCCACTGAGGCAGGGCACCTTCAGTCAGACTTGCCGCTTGCTGACAGGGCTCGTCTCTCTAGCCAGCTCGCTCTGGATCCCAGGTCTGCAGCTTCTCAGGCTGGAACTACAAGCGTGTTGCCATGTACACTGACGTGAGTGCCGGGCACCTTAAACTCCGTCCTCGTGTGTGCATGGCAAATGCCTAGCCACCGAGTCATCTCCCGCCCAAATTCTTAATGTCAGACACTGTATCTTTTAATTTGTAAGATGTCCAATTTGATTTAATTTTTCATACATCTCAATTTTATTAATTTTTGTATTTTTCGTAGTTTCATGTGTAGGAATGCTTTGTCTGTGTATGTATGTGCACCATGTACATACCTGGCCCACAGAGGCTGAAGGATGTCAGAACCCCGGCATTTGAGTTACATACGGTTGTGAGTCACCATGTGGGTGCTGGGAATTGAACCTGAGTCCTTTGGAAGAACAGCCAGTGCTCTAAACCACTGAGTCATCTCTCCAGCTCCCTAGTTTTAACTTAAAAATTTTTGTTTTCTGTGTGTGTTAGTAGACATATACATGAACATATGGAAGTCAGAGGACAATATGTGAGACGGTTCTCCCCTTCCAGTACGTGGTCCTGGAGACCCGAACGTGGGTCGTCAGGCGTGGCAGCAGCCATCTTTACACTGAGCCACCCCACTGGCCCTCTGGCTTTATTCTGAAGTTCTTCATCTTTAACTCACGTTTGTCCTCTGACTTTTATTGTAAAGTCGTTGCTTGCTAACGGACATTTACTCTTCTCTGTGTCTGCTTTGGATATGTTGGTCACTTGCCCGTATTTTCCTGTCTTGTCACTTGTCTTATAATTTTGTGTTGTCCTTGGACATATGAGAACCACAGTCGGGAGCAGTGCTGTCTTCTCCAGGGAGGGGCTCCTTTTAGTGTCTAGAAAGATTGACAGTTCTGACCACTTTCATCAAGCTGGGGCCACACCAGCTAGGTGGGGCTGGAATTTTACTTAGGTTCGGTCTACCATGGCTGGTGCACACCATGTATGTAACCTAGTGTTCAGGAGGCTGAGACACACACTGACCAAGCTATGGCCCAACCCTCAAGTTATGTGTCCAAGTGTTAACTATAGAGCTGTGGCCAGAGTAGTCATATTTTAAGTACAAAGATTAAATTTGAGCAATAGGCAACTATTGACCTGACCTGGCCAGGGGCAGTTGATGTCAGAGAATACTGGAAATTTGTAATGAAAGCATCAGTTACTCTTTTTTTCTGAGTGGGGGACTCTAGACAGGATTTTTCTGTGTAGCCCTGGCTGTCCTAGAACTAACTCTGTAGACCAGGCTGGCCTCGAACTCAGAGATTTTTTTTGCCTCTGCCTCTTGAGTGCTAGGATTAAAGGTGTGCACCACACTACTCCTGGTAAAGCAAGGTGCTTACCAATGCCTCGTTCTTCTCACCTCCTATTCTGCTCCTAGAGGGCTCAGGGCAGCGATCAAGACTGGCTTCCATGCTGGACTCAGACACGGAAGGTGAAGGGGACATTGGAGGCACCATCAACCCGTCAGTGGCCATGGCCATTGCTGGGGGGCCTCTGGCTCCTGGCTCTCGCACCAGCATTTCCCAGGGACCTTCATCAGTAAGTGTGAGGCTCATCCCCGTAGATGCCTTTGACCTGAAGCCCGTGTTGCTGGCTGGGGATGAGGCTCAGCTGGTATAGCGCTTGCCCAGCATCCATGAAGTGGCACCACATAAACTACCTCTAAGCCCTAGGGAGGTAGAGGCAGGAGGATCAAAAGTTCAAAGTCATCTTCAGACTGTGTTGTAAGTTTGACACTAGCCTGTGTCTCCAGCAAAACAAAAAGGATGTCATGCCATGAGATACATTTGGCCACAGTTCACTTTGTATAAGGAAAATAAAGTTGATCTACTCCCTCTCTGCTCCCAGGCGGCTCGCTCAGGCTGCCCCCTCTCTGCTGAATCCAGCCGGACCTTGTTGGCGTGTGTGCTGTGGGTCTTGAAAAATGCAGAGCCAGCCCTTCTGCAGCGCTGGGCTGCCGACCTGGCCCTGCCCCAGCTGGGACGCCTCCTGGACCTCCTCTACCTCTGTCTGGCTGCCTTTGAGTACAAGGTGAGGGGCTGGGTGAGGCTGCGGTGGGTGGGAAGGGGAACACTGTCAGCATGTGGGCTTCTAGGAACTGAGGATGAAAGGTAGGCTGTCTGTCCTCAGCTTTAGGGTGAGGTGACCCCTGACTTCATGAATAGAATATTGCACTGGTGATGTGGGCAGACAAAGAGAGCTTGACTAGCATGTGTAAGCTTGACTAGCGTGTATAAGCTTGATTAGCGTGTATAAGCTTGACTGACTAGTGTGTATAAGCTTGACTGACTAGCATGTATAAGCTTGACTAGCGTGTATAAGCTTGACTGACTAGCGTGTATAAGCTTGACTAGCGTGTATAAGGTCCATCCATCCCCAGGGTGAAAGACACTGAGGAGGGTGGGACAGGAGGGAAGGTCACATAAGCCAGGACTTGAATGAGAGGCAGATTCAGAAAGTCAAGATCATTCTTGGCTACATAGTGAGTTCAAGACCAGCCTGGACTGTGTGAGGCTCTGTCTTTACAACGAGAAAGTTATAGGAAAGAGAAGGAGGAAAGCTGTAAGGGAGTCTGGTAGCGTGGTTTCTAGTTCGCAGGTGCTGGAAGAGGTGGGGAAGAGGAGGGTGGGGGAAGGGGGAAGTGGGGGTGGGGGGAGGAGAATCTGGAGGTGGTGAGACTTTGGAGAGAGGGGCTGGGCTGTCTTCTGGCAGAGGTCCTGATGATTTGGCTTGCTGAGCAGAAAGACTAGGCAACCATGGGTCTTGCAGAAGGAGCACACATCACCCCAGTTCTCTGCTTCCCAGGGGAAGAAGGCGTTTGAGCGGATCAACAGCCTCACGTTCAAGAAGTCCCTGGACATGAAAGCCCGGCTGGAGGAGGCCATCCTGGGCACCATCGGGGCACGGCAGGAGATGGTGCGGCGGAGTAGGGGTGAGATGGCATGGTGGTGCACCCCGCAATCCCAGCACTCAGGAGATGGGTGAGGGAAGTACGGAGTTCAAGGCCAGGCCTTGGCTACATAAGAGACCTTGTCTTAGGAAAAGAAAACAGGAGTTCATGCCACTGCTGTATGTGGTGTGTGTGATTCCCATCTGTCCCCACGGCCCATGTGGGTCTAGTGGTGGTGTCTGCTGGGCAAGTTTTGTCTTTACCCAGTGTGCTTAATCCTTCATAAATGTCTTCCTGCTTGCGTATGTTTCCCTGTGCGTACATGTGTCTTTCCCTCTCCATGTACCTACGGACATACATTTGTGCAAGGCAGAGAGAAGTCCATTTGGAAACCAGGAGAATGTTCGATGGCGTAAGAGTGTCACACACTGGAGACAGACCTCGGACCGTGTGGACAAGTAGGTTTGAAAGATGGGTCTTTCTCATGACCATGATAAGCTGCCTAAAACAGGCCACTTTAAAACAGAAGCTTTTTCTTGTGGGCTGTGGTGGTGCAGGCCTGTAATCTCAGTGTAAATGGTGACTTCAAGGCCAGACAGCTACACAGTGAGCCCTGTCTCAAAAAAACAAAAAACAAAGAACAAAGAAACAAAAAAGCCAGAGACCTACCTTAATCCCTTCTTAGGGCTCACTCTTAATAACAAAAAACCATCTATTTAGTCCCTACCTCTTTTTATCTCTTTAAGTGGGTCTAGGGATCTCGCCAGTGTTTCGCCCCAGCCGCTAACTTACTGGGGAATTCTAGGCAGACGCTCTACCACTGAGCCGTACCATGCCCCTGCAATCTATATTTTAACTTCTTCAAGCTGAGGATCAACCTTCCAGTACAAGAATCTTTGGGAACACACTCAGACCATGACTTGTAGGAAAGGAATTTCTTTGGTTTAGACCAATTTCTAGAGAGCAGCTCCTTCCAAGGACCGCCAAGGGTGGCAGAGGCCTCTGCTGTGTCACATGGTCTGACTCCAAGTGAACTCACAAGGTGCCTCCTACCCTCCAGGACCAAAGATGAAATGGAACATGAAGCTCTGGTGGATGGAAATCTGGCTACAGAGGCCAGCCTCGTGGTTCTGGACACGCTGGAAATCATTGTGCAGGTGTGACTTGACCCAGCGTCTGTCCCGGCCTCTCACTCCTTCATGGTGGCCCAGGGTCTCTGACCCCACAGTCCCTCAGCTTCCCAGACCCCATAGTTACCCTGCCTCTTAACCCCTGGATTTCTCATCCCCTCCATGAAGACGGTGATGCTGTCAGAGGCCCGGGAGAGCATCCTGGGTGCTGTGCTGAAAGTCGTTCTGTACAGTCTGGGCAGCGCCCAGAGCGCCCTCTTCCTGCAGCACGGCCTCGCCACCCAGCGAGCACTGGTTTCCAAGGTGAGTACTCGTAAACAGCAGCCACAATTTACAGAGGTAACAATAGATCATATATTGAGCACCTACTGTGTGCCCGGCAATTTCATGGATACCACAGCTGCATTTCTGAACTAAGGAATAAGCCTGCCATGGTGACTGTCCTCTGTCTGTCATCCCAGCTTTTGGGAAGTAGAGACAAGAGGACTAGAAGTTTCAGGTCATCTTTGGCTATATAGGAAGTTTAAGGCCAGCCCAGACTGCCTAAGATACTAAGATACTGTTCCAAAAAAATGTCCTCCAAAAAATATAAACAGGCTGGGCAGAGTTATACATACCTGTTATCCCAGTTTCCCTGTTATCCCAGCTTTGGGAGGTAGATACAGGAAATCAGGAGTTCAAGGACATTCTTGGCTCTACAGAGAGTACAAAGTCAGCCTAAGCTACATTAAAGACCCTGTCTCAAAAAAAAATAAAAAATAAAAATAGCCTATCAGTGGTGATGAACACTTTTAATCCCAGCACTCAGGAGGCAGAGACAGGCGGATTTCTGAGTCTGAGGCCAGTCTGGTCTACAGAGCGAGTTCCAGGACAGTCAGGACCACACAGAGAATCCCTGCCTCAGGAGAAAAAAAAAGGAGCTTAGGTCAAAATGGCCAAGTCCCAAAGGTCAAGACAAAACCCCAAATCTCACCGCTATCTCAAATGGGGATGTTCTGAGCGGTGTCTTTCTGGGTCCTGGGGCAGTTCCCGGAGCTGCTTTTCGAGGAGGACACGGAGCTTTGTGCTGATCTCTGCCTGAGACTCCTGCGCCACTGTGGCAGCCGTGTCAGCACCATTCGCACGCACGCCAGCGCCTCGCTCTACCTGCTTATGCGCCAGAACTTCGAGATTGGCCATGTATGGGAGGCCAGGCCCAGGGCTCCAGCTGGGGGAGGCATTTCCACAGGACAGGGGTGACCAAGCATCACCCAGTATCGGGCCAGGAAGAAGGGTCAGAGTGTGGGAAGTGGGGGGCAGGTGGGTGGGGAGTAGTAACCCACATGGCAGCTGACAAGGCAGCAAGTTAAGGAACCCTGGTATGGGGAGTTGGGGACCTGAGGCTCCCAGGGTAACACGGGCTGCCTCCTTGTTCCATTAGAACTTCGCCCGTGTGAAGATGCTGGTGACCATGTCCCTGTCATCCCTTGTGGGGACAGCTCAGAACTTCAGTGAAGAGCACCTGAGAAGGTCGCTCAAGACCATCCTGACCTATGCAGAGGAGGACATAGGGCTGAGGGACAGCACCTTTGCTGAGCAGGTGATGCCTCCGTACCCCTCCTCCCACTGTGGACATGTGTAGTTTGCCCCTGTGTCTTTTTGCTTTATTTATTTATTTTTGGTATTTATCTTTGAACCTTGGTGTTATGAGACATGGTCTCACTCTATATCCTAGGTTGGCCTCAGACTCTCAGCAATCCTCCTGCCTCTGCTCCCGAGTGCTGGGGTTATATGCATGATCCACCAAGACAAGTCTTTGTTTTGTTTTGTTTTGTTTTGGAGATAACGTTTTCTCCCTCCCCCTCTCTCTTCCCCTGCCTCCCCTAGTCTAGAAGGCCTAGATGTCATTATGTAGCTGAGGCTGGCCTTGAACCCCGGCCCTCCTGCCCCTGCCTCCCATGCTCTGGGTAACTGGCAGGCTCGGCCACTCTGGCTTGTCTGTCTTCTTTTGGGTGTCTCAGCCCAGCCTAGGCTGACCTGGAACTCATTACGTAGCCAGGATGACTTCTGACTTGTGGCCATGGTCCTGTCCCTGCCTCCCAGCACTGGGACTACAAGGTGTGCGTGTGTACTTGTGTGCACCCAGCCTGCCCTGCTTCCCCCAGGCTGAACTCTGGCCATTATGCTTACATGGAGAGCATGTTACCCACTGAACTGTCTGCACAGCCTTCTCTCCCATCTCCCTCCTGACCCTGTTGCCCTCCTGACCCCTGACACTCACACGCTCCAGGTTCAGGACCTCATGTTCAACCTGCACATGATCCTGACAGACACAGTGAAGATGAAGGAACACCAGGAGGACCCCGAGATGCTCATGGACCTCATGTACAGGTGAGGGCAAGGGCCTCGGGGAGGGAGCGCCAGGTGAGCAGTCAGCTGAAGGGTACAAGCTAAAGGACAAGACAGGACAGACAGATACGGATACAGGCTACGTGTGTACTAGGACACACCCCGAGACAATCGACTTAAAAGAGAAAAGTTGTCTCAGATGCTAAAGGGGCCTGTTAAGAGACTGATGACTTGGGCTCAGCCCCGGGGCCCACTTGGCTGAAGGAGAGAGCCAGGTCCCTCAGGCTGTCCTCCAACCTCCACGTGTCCCTCCTCCCCACACGTGTATGACACACAGAAAATAGCTGTACAGAGAGAGGGTGGTTTGTTTTAGCTAATGGGTCTAGAGGGTTTGTTCTATAGTCAGTTGGCCCCATAGCTGTGGGCCTGTGAGAGGACTCCCGTGTAGCAGGGGTTTGTGGCACACGGAAGCCACTCACCTTGCGGTGAGGAAGCCAGGCGGACAAGAGGAAGAAACCAGGTCCCACAGTAAGTAAAAGTGGAAAGGACAAGCAGTGGCCATGGCGATGACTCGTGTGGTAGACCTCCCAGCACACACGAGGCCCTGGTCCATCTCCAGCACCACTTACACCGGGTGTGGTGGCGCATACTGGCCACCCTGGCTGTCAGCGGGGAGCAGGAGGATGAGGGGTGCAAGGTAGGTCTTGGCTACAGGGAGTTTGGGGTAGTGTTCTAGTTTGCGGTCTATTGCTGTGATAAACGCCATGACCAAAAACAATTTGGGGAGGAAAGGGCGCATCTGGCTTGTGTGTCCCAACAGTCACACTCTGTCACTGAGGGAAGTCGGGGCGGGAAGCATGCAGAGCCGTGGAGGAGCACTGCTCACTCACTTGCTCTCCGTGGCTTGCCCAGACAGCTTCCTTATACCACCCAGCACCGCCTGCCCGGAGGTGTCACCACCCAGAGGGGACTGGGCCATCAATCATTACTTAGTGCCACACCCCACAGACTTGTCTACAGGCCAGTCTGAGGAGACGTTCTCTGCTTTCTAGTTCTTCCCAACGAGTCTAGCTGTGCCAGGCTGACAAAAAGAGCTAACCAGGGGGCTGGAGGGACTGCTCAGCAGTTAAGAGCACTGGCTGCTCTTCCAGAGGTCCCAGGTTCAATTCCCAGCACCCACATGGCAGCTCACAAATTTCTGTAACTCCAGGATCCAACACCCTCACACAGACATACATACAGGCAAAATACCAATGCACATAAAATAAATAATTTTTTTTGGTTTTTCGAGACAGGGTTTCTCTGTATTGTTTTGAAATAAATTTTTTTTTAAAAAACAACTAACCAGTGCAGGTGTCCAGCCTGGGCTACATGAGCCCCTGTGTCAACAACAACAACAAAACAAAACAAAAAATATAAAGACACTTCCTCCCCAGCACCTCATAAACTAGGCATGGTGGCACCTACCTGTGATCCCAGTACTCAAGAGGCAAGAGGATCAAAAGTTCAAAGTCAGCCTCAGCTACATAGCAAGTTCCAGGCCATCCTGGGCTACCTGAGCCCCTGTCTCAAAAATATAAAAGGAAGAAAAGAAAAGTGAGTTAGGCAGAGCTATGAGGCTGAGTAAAAGGATGGACAAGAGAGGGTCTGGGTGAGTGGGCGGGCAATGGCCAAGCAATAAAGGGTGGTTAAGGTACATACAGTAGGTGAGCATCGGGGCTGGGCAAGCAGAGACAGGCAGTCACGTCCCTGCTGTCCTGGACCTAGGATTGCCCGGGGCTACCAAGGCTCTCCAGACCTGCGGTTGACATGGCTGCAGAACATGGCTGGCAAACACGCAGAGCTGGGCAACCATGCAGAGGCTGCCCAGTGCATGGTACATGCAGCTGCCCTGGTGGCTGAATACCTTGCCCTCCTGGAGGACAGTCGTCACCTGCCTGTGGGCTGTGTCTCCTTCCAGGTACGTAAGCGGTCAGGGTCGCTGGGAGGTAGAGGAAGACTCAATGGGGTTGACGCTGGGTCTGACGCCACCTCCTGCCCTCCCCAGAATGTGTCATCCAATGTGCTGGAGGAATCCGCCATCTCTGATGACATCCTGTCCCCAGATGAGGAGGGCTTCTGCTCCGGAAAGAACTTCACGGAACTGGGGCTGGTGGGGCTGCTGGAGCAGGCAGCTGCCTACTTCACTATGGTGAGACCTAGGACAATGGCGTCAGGCTGCTCACCAAATGATTTTCTGGCCAGGTATTTAGGATGGGGAGTCAGAAGCAGGCATGATAGTGCATACCCGTGAGCCACATGGCTGAGGCAGTAGGATTAGAATTTAAGGCCAGCATGGACTGCAGAGCCATTTTTCTCCAAACAAAACAAAATTGGGGCTGGGGCTCTAGCATGCACAAAGCTCTGGGTTCCATCCCAGCACCCCATAAACCAAGCATGAGGATGCACACCTATGATCCCAGTACTCAGTGGGTAGAGGCGGGAGGATCAGAAGTTCAAAGCCACCTACTACATAGCAAGTTCTAGGCCATTCTGGGCTATGGGAGTCCCTGTGTGAAGACAGAAAGGAGGTGGGGGATCAAAACAAGAAAGGAAAGAAAACAAACCTGGGGCTTTAGCACAATGGCGCTGGTGGAATGCTTGCCTAGCATGGGTGAGCTAACCCTCTGAGAAGGTGGGCTGGGGGGACAGAAGCCATTAACCTTAGGAATGTGGGGTTGGAAGGTAGCTCTGTTGGAACTCCAATAAAAAGCCAGGCACGACGGTGAAAGCCTATAACCCCAGAGTTGGGAGCGAGTCTGAAGATTCTGAGGTCTTGATGGCCTACCTCAAACGGCAAGCTCCAGGTTCAGTGAGAGACCATTCCAGAAAATAAGGTGGAAAGCAACAGGGGAAGACACCCGATACCAACCTCTGACCTCCCCGTGTGCACACAGGCACATAAATCCCAACAAAGGGCTGGGGTGTGGCTCAGTTGGTAGAGCGTTGGCCTAGCCTGCTTGAAGCCCTGGGCTCCCTCCCTAGAGCTTGGTAAACCTGGCATGGTGGCACACACCTCTCACGCCAGCACTCGGGAGTTCAAGCCAACGTGGGCTCATAGGACCTACGACCTGCCTTTCTCTTCATGAGACCTCTCAATAGGCCTGTGTTTATGATTTTATTAGTTCTAGAACTTTCTAATTCACATAAAAGAAAGGTATTTTGTTCCTGCTTGCTTTTCCAAACCTTATTCCGGCTGTAATGACAGCCTCCTCTGCTTGGGCCTTCCTGGACAGCTACTCTGTTCCCTGGTATGCCGTATTACTCAACTCTGGGGTGAAAATAAAAGCAGCTAAGACAGGAGCCAGGGGTCAGTCCGGGCGAGCACCAGTTTAGTCCTGCCGAGTTCCATCCCAGCACTGTATCAACTGAGTGAGATGCTACGCATCTGCTGTTCCCAGAAACTGGGGAGGTGGAGGAGGGATGAGAGGTTCAGGTCATCTTGAGGCTGAGCAGTGAGTTTGAGGCTAGCCTGGGCTACATGAGAACAAAGGGGCTCATGGTGCAGCATATTGGCAGGGAGCTTGCCTAGAGTGCACAGGCCCTGGGCTCCATCTCTGTCACAAAAATAAAGTATCAAATCGCTGCATTTAAACAAGATTTGGAAGAGCCCCTTTCTTATGAAATCTGAGGAGCTCTGGCTTCATACAGATCCCTGCTACTGGCCCTGAGCCCACCGTGCCTCCCAGCACCCTCACCTAAGAAAGCTGCTGTGGACACTCAGCGTGCTGGCCCCGTCCACAGGGCCTGCACAGCAGCACGGCAGTGCTGATTTATTTCTCCCATGAAGATCTTGGGGCAGGATATCGCTTGGTGGAGCATGGCCTAGTGGCATGTAATGTTTGATGATAGAACTATTTCCCAGAATGGATACACACACCTATTTTCTTTTCCCTTAAAAAGTATATTTATTTATGTGGGGGTGGGGTATTCTGTGTGCTCTGGCTCACATAGCCCAAGCATTCCTCAAACCTCTATTTAGTGAGGGATGGCCTTCAACTCTTGATCCTTCTGCCTCCACCTCCAGACCACGGCGCTTGCAGGAGTGGCCATCAGGCCTGGCTTGCATGCATATCCGCTCCCCCAATATACACAGCCTCCCCCATTGTCAACAGCCCACGCTGGGTTCTGTGTTGGTCCCAATCGATGAAGCTCCATTGACAGACACAGCATTGTCCCCCACGGTCCAGAGTTCACCACCAGGATTAGTCTGGGTTATATACATACTCTGCAGGCTTTAGCACACTTGCAACAGCACAGAGCCCACTGTAGAAAGACTATTGCAGAGTCTCTAAAAAAGTCAAGTCAGGAAAACCGTTACCACTTTCTCCTCATGCTCCTCTTCAGTGTAGTGGTGGGTGGAACCCAGGCCTTCATACATGCTGCAAAGCACTCCACAGATTGAACTGCATCCTACCTTTTTATTATGTCTATCTTGTTACATTTACTACAGCTTTCCTGTGTGTGTGTGTGTGTGATGTGAGGTCAGAGGACATCTTGCAGGACTCGGTTCTCTCCTTCTACTCTGAATTCCAGGGAGTGAACTCAGATCACCAGGGTTCATGGGAGATGCCTTTACCACTCCCCTAGTTTGCCTTCTGCTGTAAATGCCATGGCCGAAAGCTACTTGGGGTGGAAGGTTTATTTTGCCTTTCATTGCCAGGCATCAGTCCATCGCTGAGGAAAGCCAGGCAGGAGCCTGCAGGCGGGAACTGAAGTGTAGACGTGGGCGCCGCTCACTGGCTGCCTCCTCCTTTGCCCACTATCTTACAGCACCCAGGGCCCCCTGCCCAGTGGGCACTGCCTCCCACATCAGTCATTAATCAGGAAAAGGAGGCGTTTCTCAGTCTTAGGTGCCCAATTCTCAAGTTACCTTAACTTGTGTCAAATTGACAAAAACAAAAGCAGCTAACCAGCATCTGGGTGGAGCCATCTCAGTGGCCCTCGTGTTTTTGTGGTGGTAGTTGCTTTGTGACAGTATCTCAGTATGTAACTCAACCTGGCCTGCAGCTTCTGTGTGGACCAGGCTTGGCCTCAAACGTGTATCTCCCCCTGGCTCTGCCTCTGGAGTGCTAGACTCTCAGGTGTGCACCGCCATGCCTGGCATGGGTTTTGTTTTTTGTTTTGATCTCTGTACGCATGCACACATATGCTTGATGTGTGTGTATGTGATGTGTACTTCCATGTGTACCAGCATGCACATGCCACTGTATGCCTGTGGAGGTCAGGAGACAGCCTCCTGTGTTGGCCCTTCCCTATCTTGTGTGAGGCAGGCTCTCTTGGCTGTTTCATATGGCAGGCTGTTCCCAACGCTCCCAGGGTTCTGCTCCTTCTCATCTCTGTACAGCTTCGAGTGGGTCCCAGCTAGCCACACTGAGGCCCTCACACTGTGCAGCAAGGGCTTCGCCCACAAAACTGTCTCCCCAGCCCCAGCTCTGGCGTTTTGTTGTTTGGTTTGGGGTTTTTTGTTTGTTTGTTTTTCTGAGACAGGGTTTCTCTGTATTGCTTTGGAAGCTGTCCTGGAACTCACTCTGTAGACCAGGCTGGTCTCGAACTCATAGAGATCCACCTGCCTCTGCCTCCAGGCTGCTTTGGTTAAAGCCTGTGCCACCAGGCCTCCCTAAATGGGCTTTTTCTTCTGTGTCATGGTTAATCACTCTGCTGGTGTCTTTGAAGAGACTGAGGGAGGAGGCCGAGTGTGGACAGACCCTAACTGAAGAATTCCAGCTGGGAGGAGGCACTTGGGCCTGGGCATCTGGGGCATGGGGTCAGGTGGACGGATATTGACAGTCTGGCCTTGGGAGACCTGTCACCTTCAGGCATGGGAAGTAGGGACAGCAGCTATGGTGCGTGGCTCAGCTGGTAGAGTATTTAACATTCCCACGTGAGGGATTGAATTCAGATCCTCCAACAACTATCTTATCCAAACGCCAGGTGGGGCTGGAGAGGTGACTCAGCCTATGCTGCTGTTGCAGAGGACTGGAGTTCAATTCCCAGCACCGGGCTGGGCAGCTCACAGCTGCCTGAAACCCTAGCTCCCAGGCCTCTGGCTTCTCCCAGCACCCGTTCTTATGTGTACATAACCACACACAGCACCCACACATATCCATACTGAAGTAAACCAGCTGGGTGTCGAGGCATGTATCTTTAATGCCAGCACTCAGGACATAGAAGAAAATCAATCTCCGTTGGAGTACAAGGCCAGCCACCTGGTCTACATAAGGAGCTCTAGGCCAGCCAGTGCTACACAGTGAGACCTTGTGTCTTAGTTAGGGTTTTCTTTTTTTTTTTTAGCAAACAGTATTTAAGGTGTTGTAGAGCAAGTGTTACCTAGCATGCTCAGAAGCCCTGGGCTTCACCCACAGAACCACCACAGCAAAACCCTCCTCTCTTGCCTGCAAGGAGGAGCCAGTACAGATCCAACAGCTTTGGGGCCTTGGTAACTGTTTGTGAGAAGAGGTGGAGCTGGGGCGTTGTCAAGGTGGTGATGGGGGAGGGGACGGACATGGCGGGTCTTGGGAAATCCTTACCTCGCTTCTTCTGTTCTCCAGGGTGGTTTGTATGAAGCAGTGAATGAAGTCTACAAAACCCTCATCCCCATTCTTGAAGCCCACAGAGACTACAAGAAGCTGGCCGCAGTGCATGGGAAACTGCAGGAGGCCTTCACCAAGATAATGCAGCAGGTGGGCCCTAGGACCCTCCCAACACAGGCCGGATGCCAGGCCTGCATCTAGGACTCTGGCTCCCTCCCTTGTCCCCTTCCCCCTCTGCTATGCTATATGCTAACCTTGCCTCCTCTTTTCCCACAGAGCTCTGGCTGGGAGGTGAGTCTGAGGGACCATGATCCCTGGTGAACACTGGCAGCAAACACTAGGGGGCAGCAGAACCGCACAGCACCCCTCCACAGGGGTCTGGGCCTAGTGGGAGAAGACGCACAGCCCCTACTTACTCCCTTCCCCCAAATGCCTCCCCCCAATCTCAAGGGCAGCCTGTGAGTCACCCAGCTGGGAACTCTCCAGAGACACCCCTCCCTCGGGCAGGGCCTGCTCAGTTACCACCATGGGTGGGGTGGAGAAGAAGGGGGCTCGCTCGTTCCCTCTGTCCCAGTCCTCCCTCTACCCCTCGCCACCTCTGTCCTAGGGCTCCCTCTCTCTCCATCTCAGTCTCCCCAGCGCCCGCTTCACCCAGGACCACTGCTCCTCGTCTCTTGTTAAGGATTCGTGCCCCCCCCCATCCCTCCTCCTTTCTATTTTTAGGCATCTCTCAGTTGAGGGAGAATTTTCTGGCCAAAGATGGCAGGAACCCAGAGCCTGGCAGGCTGGGTGGAGGCCAGTGGGGTGGGTAGGTCCCCGCCTTCCCTGCATCCTTCGTCTCCTCGCCCTCCATAGAATGATTCTCATAAGTTGGTATAACCAGAGCCCTGGGAGGGGGTAACTCTAAACTGTGACCTTTGATCTCTCCAATGACTGTGTCTCTCTGTCCGCCATCCCTCCATCCCTGTTTCTGGCCTCACCATGTCTGCCCCACTCTGCCTGGATCGGCCTTGGTGAGTGAATTCAGAATGACCCCACCTCCTCCCCCAAGGGTTAGGGATGATTTCTCCGGGTGAAGGGTCCTCCTTCCACATTTAGGGCTAGAGCCACAGAGAAGAATGTTCCATAACTAGAGCCCACTGTCCCAGGACAGGAGGCAGCCCAGAGTGTTCCTTAGTCACCCAGGCACTAGGGCATCTGCTGGGCCGGGGCCCCATGGCTACTGAGGGTTAGGTGTAAGCAACACAGCCCCTAATTTGGTATTAGATGTAGGTGATGGGCTGGTGTGTGTTAAACAAGGAAGTTGACAGAAGACTCAGAACAAAAGGCAGAGGAAGCCTGCCTGCCTGCTTGCCTGCCTGCCTGCCTGCCTGCTCAGAAGGCAGAGACAGGAGGATAGACAGGTTAGGAGTAGCCTGGGCAACTTATTAATACTATCTCAAAGGTAAAAAATAAGCTGGGTAATGGTGGCACATGTCCTTAATCCCTGCACTGGGGAGGCAGAGGCAGACAGATTTCTGAATTTGAGGCCAGCCTGGTCTACAGAGGGAGTTCCAGGTCAGTAGGGTTATATATAGAGAGACATTGTCTCAAATAGATAGACAGATGGGTGGGTAGGTGGGTGAATGGATGGACGGATGGAGGGACAGACGGACAGACGGACAATTTTTAAGAAGAAAATGACGCCAGGCATTTATCCCAGCATTTGGGAGGCACAGGCAGGTTGATATCTGTGAGTTCGAGGCCAGCCAGATCTACAGAACAGGCTCCAAAGTTACACAGAGAAATCCTGTATTGAAGGGAAAAAAGAGAAAGAAAATGGCTGGGGGCTTAACCATAGAGCCCCAACCTGGAACCTTCCAGGGGAGAGCTGGTATGGTCCAGCCATGAAGTGCTCACCCAGCTTGTGGGTTGCTCCAGGCTCAGTCGTCACCACATATATACACACAAAACGATGGTGGCCACATCTTGGTGTGATCTGGGTCCCCTGGCACGTTGGTCTAGAGAGTCTCGGGATTCCCCATTCCCGGCTGGTCCTCGACTTCCCACCCTGAGTGTGTCTGGATGGAGGCGCCTGCACAGATGCCTCCTTGCCAACACCACTGGCTTCCCTCAGACCAGCGTGTATTTGGGACATACTTCCGAGTGGGCTTCTATGGTGCACGGTTTGGTGACCTGGATGAACAAGAGTTTGTGTACAAGGAACCGTCAATCACAAAGCTGGCAGAGATCTCACACCGACTGGAGGCACGTCCTGGAACTGGGAGGTGGGTCAGGCCATGTGGGTTATAGTGGGGGCTGCCCCAGCGGGGGCCCGAGTCAACCCCATGTCTCTAGGAATTCTATACGGAGAGGTTCGGGGACGATGTGGTAGAGATCATCAAAGATTCTAACCCAGTGGACAAGTCCAAGCTGGACCCACAGAAGGTGGGTCTCCTGACCAGTCTCCCTAAGGTCCTGTATTGAAGGAGTTTGCAAATACTCATGGGGGGGGGCTGGGGCACGTCCTGTTTCTCAGGGAATTCCTGTACATCCAGAATCGGGGAGATCTGGGGCTCTAGATTCAAAACCTTCAAGCCCAGAGGGACCAGGGCCTCTGGCTGGAGCTGTAGTGTCAGGTCCCCAGGCTGCTCCCAGCCTTATGCGTGACCTTGTGTCCCAGGCCTACATCCAGATAACCTACGTGGAGCCGCACTTTGACACCTATGAGCTCAAGGACCGCGTGACCTACTTCGACCGCAACTATGGGCTGCGGGTCTTCCTCTTCTGCACACCGTTCACACCGGATGGGCGAGCGCACGGGGAGTTGGCGGAGCAGCACAAGCGCAAGACCCTGCTGAGCACAGAGCACGCCTTCCCCTACATCAAGACACGCATCCGCGTGTGCCACCGTGAGGAGGTGCGGCCCCAGGCCTGGGGAGGGGGACAGAGGAAGCTTCAGACTCGGGAAGGGAGGTATGGGCACTCAAGGTCCCGGGAGGAAAAGGAAGAGGAACTTCAGGACTTGGAGACGACAGGATAGGGTTTGGGAATAGCAGAATTGGGTTTGGGAACTATAAGGACCCCAGGCTGTAGACTTCAGACACAAGCCTCTACCACCAGGCCTGGAGAGACCTGGAGATCTGAGTCCCAGACTCAAGGGCAGATGGTGTGTGAACCAGACTGAAGCCCCAGCTTAGTCAAGATTCACCCAAGGGAGCACAAATCCTCAGCACTGTTCATGGCCTGGAACCCTCCTTCCCAATTCCAGCGACCTTGGGCTGTCTTGGCATGGGACATGGCAGGCCCCAGTGGGGCACCCCACACAGGCACACATACCCATATGTACCCACCCCGCTCACCCCGCAGATGGTGCTGACACCAGTGGAGGTGGCCATTGAGGACATGCAGAAGAAGACACGGGAGCTGGCCTTCGCCACTGAGCAGGACCCTCCAGATGCCAAGATGCTACAGATGGTCCTGCAGGGCTCCGTGGGACCCACTGTGAACCAGGCATGGCTGGCATTTCTGGGGGGGGGATGCTGGCCACCTTGAGCTTCCAGATGAAGCTCATGAATCTTCTCACCCCATAGGGCCCCTTAGAAGTGGCCCAAGTATTTTTGGCAGAGATCCCAGAAGATCCCAAACTCTTCCGACATCACAACAAACTACGACTCTGCTTCAAGGATTTCTGCAAGAAGTATGCTGGCTATTATAATCCTGCCATCCTGACTCCCTGCTATACCCAGCCTGACTCCCTGCTATACCCAGACTGACTCCCTACTATACCGAGCCTGACTCCCTGCTATACCCAGCCTGACTCCCTGCTATACCGAGCCTGACTCCCTGCTATACCCAGCCTGACTCCCTGCTATACCGAGCCTGACTCCCTGCTATACCCAGCCTGACTCCCTGCTATACCCAGTCTGACTCCCTGCTATACACAGCCTGACTCCCTGCTATACACAGCCTGACTCCCTGCTATACCCAGCCTGACTCCCTGCTATACCCAGCCTGACTCCCTGCTATACCCAGCCTGACTCCCTGCTATACCCAGCCTGACTCCCTGCTATACCCAGCCTGACTCCCTATTATACCCAGCCTGACTCCCTGCTATACCCAGCCTGACTCCCTGCTATACCCAGCCTGACTCCCTACTATACCCAGCCTTGCTTCATTATATCCAGTCTGACTCCCTTTTATACCTAACCTGAGTCCCTGCTCTACCCAGCCTGACTCCCTGCTCTACCCAGTCTGACTCCCTGCTCTATACTCAGCCCCTCTCCCAGCCTTGCTCCATTATACCCAGTCTGACTCCCTGCTATTTCCAGCCTGGCTCCCTGTTAATACTAGTCTTGGCTTCCCTGATACACTAGGCTGACTCCCTATTTAGATTCACAGGCCCCATAGTGGACGCTTGTCCCCACATTCGTAACCAGTCCCTGGCCCCTGTTCTTGCTCTCCCTTGAGTGCCAGCCCCCACCAGCCTCTCCCTGACCCCTCAGGTGTGAGGATGCACTGAGAAAGAACAAGGCCTTGATTGGGCCAGACCAGAAGGAGTACCACCGGGAACTAGAGCGCCACTACAGTCGCCTGCGGGAGGCTCTGCAGCCTCTGCTTACCCAGCGCCTGCCCCAGCTGCTGGCACCAAGCTCCAGCAGCCTCAGGTGCGCACAAACATGAGCGTACACATGCATATGCACACACACACAGCACAGTCCGTGTCTGGCGGATTGTGTGACTTCGTCTACTCTGTTTTTCTGTTATTACGTTTGATTTAATGGATGGGGCATATATACGTCACAGTATATCTGTGAGGTCAGAGGACAAATTGCGGCAATCAGTTCTCTTCTACTATGGGTACCAGGGATTAAACCCAGGTCAGTAGGCTTGGTAGTAAGTGCCTTGACCCACTGAACCATCCTTCATACTCTCCGATTCTTCTATCGTGGAGATTGAATCTTTCCACGCTAGGCTAGTGCCCTACCACCGAACCTAATCCGCAGTCTTCATTCAGCTGTCGGAGCCTGTTTCCTCACCTATAAAGTAAACATTATCCCAACCCCCTGCGGCCGATTCTGATCTGGGAGAGCACCGTAGCTAGTTAGCTACAGGTTATTGCAGCCATGCTTGAATACCTGAGTTTGAATCCCCAAAAAGCACGTGGTGGAAAGAAAGAACCAACTCTAGTAATCTGTCTTCTGGCATCTACATTTGCACACACACAGCACAGAGGTAAATGTGATTTATATTAAAAGGAAAATCCTTTCATTGGATCAGGGTAGACAGGAGAGAGTCTAAATATTCTTGGAAGGGTTGCATGATGACAGGTGAGGAGGGTGGGGAGGATTGTTGACCTGGGGATCCTGTGGCTAACCTGCCTTCTGCCCCCAGGAACTCCCTGAACAGATCTAGTTTCCGGAAGGCTGAACTCTGACCCTACAGCACTGAAATCTCGCCAGAAGACCCGCACCCACACCTCAGCTGTCTGTGCCTTCCTGGAGTCACTCCTGCCCTCTCATCCATGGGTGACCACAACATCTTTGGGGCTGGGCCCTCCATCCCTCTGTCTGCACTGATGTATCCTAATTTTTGTTTTGTTTGTTTGTTTTTAATTTAAAATAGTTTTATATGCAACCTGTGTGGTGTGGTGACAATTGACACAGTTTCTGCCCTGGGGAGCTGACAGGCAGTTGAAGAAGATAACACACATGAAACATGTCCATGGGAAAGTGTTGTGTGCGTGTGTATGTGTGTTTGTGTATGTGCACATAATGGGGGTTTGCATGCACAAATGTGTGACATATGTGTATTCCTCAGTCTCTCTCTACGTTTTGTTTTGTATTTACTGTGTAGCCCAGGCTGGCCTTGAACTCACAAAGATCCACCTGCCTCTTCCTCCTGAGTGCTGGGATAAAGGAGTATGTCACTATGGTTGGCTTCTCTTAGCCTTTCTTTTTGTTCCACTTGTTTATTTATTTGTGTCTGTACATGTGTGGGTGCATTGTGCCATGGCACACGTGGAGGTCACAGGACAACTTGCAGGGCTCAGTTCTCACCACGCCAGGCTTGGCAGAGGGCAGCTTTACCTGATGAGCCTCTCCTTGGTCCTCCGCTTATTTTTTAAGACAGGTGTCTCACAGAAGCCAGAGTTCACAGACTCAGCTAGGGCCACTGGCCAGTGAGCCCCCAGAATTAGACTTACAGATAAACTTTTGTGCCCAACTTCTACATGGCTGCTGGGATTTGAAGTCGGGTCCTGTGCTTTCATAGGCAAGCACTTACCCACTGAGATATCTCCCCAGCCCCAGAGGGAACATCCATGAAGTCCCAGGCCAAGTGCTAGGTGGCTTTTGGGAGTTCCTTTCTTTCCTTCTTCCTTCTTCCCTCCTTCCTTCCTTCCTCCCTCCCTTCTTCCTTCCTTCCTTCCTCCCTCCCTTCTTCCTTCCTTCCTTCCTCCCTCCCTTCTTCCTTCCCTCCCTCCTGTTGTTAATTGTTTTGCTTTGTCGTTTGTTTTTTTGAGGCAGTCTCCCACAGCCCAGAATCACTGTGGTGTGCTGGGACTACAGGTGTGCACTACCACAGTGGGAGTGGCTTCAGAAAGTTCTGTGCAAACACAAGTATTTCATCTCTGGGCTGGGGGTGCAGTTTAGTGGCACAGTGATTAACTAGCATCCAAAGAATCCTGGGGTCCATCCCCAACCCCACAAAATCAATAAAGCATGCCCTGTGACTTTTGTCAACCTGTGAGTAATGTGAAGGGAATTTTCTGTTTTGTTTTGTTTTTTTTGTTTTGTTTTGTTTTTTTTCGAGACAGGGTTTCTCTGTGTAGTTTTGGAGGCTGTCCTGGCACTCACTCTGTAGACCAGGCTGGCCTCGAACTCACAGAGATCCGCCTGCCTCTGCCTCCCGAGTGCTGGGATTAAAGGCGTGCGCCACCAACGCCCAGCATGGGAATTCTCTGAATACACTTATTAGATAGGTCACGTGGTTGACTATTGGTGGGGAAACTGAGGCCTAGCTCTGGAAGAGATAGATGGGGTCGGGAGGGGGACGATTGGGCTATTCATCAGTGCAGTCTCTGAGCTTGGGACGGCGGTCACGCCAGGGTACACCCGGCTAGCAGCTGGATGGCTTCCAGCCGCCAGCGACCAACGGGGGAGGGGTGACCTCCAGTCCGGCCACCGCACCCGCCCTCGAGCTGGGCCGCGGCCAGCTCCGCCCCCTGCAGCGCCCAGCTGCAAAGGGCGGGCACTGGGCTTGGAGAAGGGTGGGGGACCCTGTCCAGGGGGCTGGTGGCCAGAGGCCGACTGAGCCCCTAGGACGTGTACAGACAGCAGCGAGAGCGCGTGCACCCCCACGACCGCCCTTCAACTTCGCCCCCAGCCCCTGCTGCAGAGGCGCCCGGGAGGCTGGAGGGGCGGGGTTTGTGGCGGGGGCGTGGCTACCGCGCTGGCTCGACTGGGTAGCGGCGGCTGAGGCGGTCCGCGCAGGACGCCTGGGACGGTGAAGGCTGGAGCGCGCCAGGCGAGTGGGACCCAGGGCTGGTTGGGGTGGTGTGGGGTCCTGGCTACTCTAGGGGGGCTGTCGGGATTTCTAACCCACTTCCATCAGAGGCTACAAGCCCACTCCTCTCTGAGCTGGTCCCTCCCAAGGCTCACCATCTGCTTCCAAACTTTGCAACCCGGAGCGTCTTGATCCCCGCGCTCCAGTCCCCTCCCCAGCCCTGACCTGGGCCCTGCTTCTCTGGCCTCAACCCACCTCCATTCCTTTATCGTTCCCTGCCTCCCTCCCTCTGCTCCGTGCTTGTCGTCTGTCTCTGCCCCTTTCCCTGTCCGGGTCGCCCCTTTCGCAGCTCCTGGTGGCCGAGCCCGGCCCCTCAGCGGCGGGAAGGCATCCGGGCGTCCGGCCGGGCTGGGCCCGGCTGCTGGGCGCGTGGGGGGGGGGATCAGCAGATGTTTGCCATTAGATCGGGACCCCGCAGGCCCCGCCCCCTGCGCGGGGCGGGGTCCTCCTCACCCTCAACTTTGGGGGCGGAGAGAGCGAGGCAGGAAAACCCCCAGATCCGCCCAGGCTGATGGGGAGGTGCACCCTGGGGAGACCCTGTGGCCCCTCTCTGAAAGTTCCCACCTGTTGGCTCTTCCATCCTCCTTTCGCCACCCCCATCCAGGGATCTTGTAGGGAGAGACGGGCCTCCTCCCGCCTGTGGTGGAGACCCTTAGATCCCCATCCCTCAGTCTCCACATCTCGGAAATGAGACGAGTGGAGTCCTTGGGTGCCTTGGGCGAATTTGCCACGCTTAAGTTAAGTCCAGGCCCAGCAGCCCACCACCACACCTTGCTCAAGTGACCCTGCGCAAGATTCACACTCAGTGGTGAATTTGGGTGAGGGTTTACCTCCTGGGGTTGTCATGGCAACTGAGAGTCTTTGAATAACCAGGAGTCCTGGAGGATGCCTGCAATCCCAGCACTTGGGAGGCTGAGGCCGGAGAGTAGTGAGTTTGACGGTGGCCTGGACTGTATAGCAAGTCTTCCTTCCTTCCTGCCTTCCTTCCTTCCTTCCTGCCTTCCTTCCTGCCTGCCTGCCTTCCTTCCTTCCTTCCTGCCTTCCTTCCTGCCTTCCTTCCTTCCTGCCTTCTTTCCTGCTTTCCTTCCTGCCTTCCTTCCATCCATCTTGTTTTTGTGGGGTTTTGTTGGGTTTTTTGTTTTATTTTGTTTTTCAGGACCGGGTTTCTCTGTGTAACAGCCCTGACTGTCCTGGAACTCTTTGTAAACCAGGCTGGTGTCGAACTCACAGAGCTCCACCTGCCTCTGCTCCTGAGTGCTGGGATTAAAGGCGTGTGCCACCACTGCATAAACTCTTTTCTTAAAAACATAAACAGGCTGGGGATGTAGGGCGCATGCCCACCATGTATGAAGTCTGGTGTTCCATCCCCAGAACCGTATAGCTGGGTGTGGCAGTACAGCCAGCAGTTTCCAGCACTTGGAACAGTACAGGCAGGAGGAACAGAATTTTAAGGTCGTCCTCAGCCACATAGTGGGTTTGAGGCCAGCCTGGGCTACATGAGACTTTGTCTCTAACAAAACAAAACACAAGTGGTGTTATAGTTATTAACTTTATTCATTCCAACACAGCACCCCTACCCCAGGCTATCCCAATACTGCTCCCGACCTCTGTGTCTCTCTCAGGTCCCCAGGAAACATTTTGAACCGGCTTCCTATATCTGGAGGCTCCGAGACTCCAGGCAGATGCAGAGGCAGTTTTCCCTACAATTGGTCACTGTGCATTGCAGGTGTTCAAGCCAGCAAAGCAAAGGCAGAGACGTAGAGAGACACAGACTGGATGGACAGAGGCATGGAGGAAGACTAGACAGAGGGAGAGACATCCCAGGGCTGCCTTCACGCCCAGCAGGTGCCCCGTCCGCCCAGGTACCCAGTGCCTGGTATCCACACCCCAGAATGGTCCATCCTGGAGGATGATATGGGCGGAGGTGTCTGCAGCAAGGCAGCTGGAGGGCAGACAGCAGAAAGGACAGACCCTGGCTGACCTCCAGGGCTGAAGTGGGTTTAGCAAGAGCTGTTTGCAGGCTGTAGGCACCCTTTCCTTCCTGCCCTCCACCTTGACTTCCCTGGCCTCCACCTCACTCTGTCCCTCCTGCACCCCCTCCCCTCCCAGCCCGGACATATCCTGAGGGGGCAGGAAGTTCCATGTAGCTGGGCAAAGAGACTGTTTATTTTTAGAGAAAATTGCTTCCATAAAGAGGAAGGCTTCTCACAGCGTGTGTCCTCAGCACTTTCCCCCTCTCCACGGGCCTGGCCGGGCTCTGGCTCGCTGAGGGGTCCCACCCTCCACGTTCTGCCTGCTGCCCCCTCTGCGGTCCCCACTCTTAACACTCTAATGCCCTTACCAGCTCTCCTGTGCACACTCAAGATGCGCCAAGGGGAGGGGACACAGGAAGGGTGGGCCTGCCCTGAGGGCCATGTGGAGGCTCTGGGAACAGCTGGAGTCTGTCCAGGGCTGGACAGATGTGCACACAGCCAGGGAGGTTTGATTTCTTTGTTCTAGGACTTTCTCCAGCCAGGCGAGTGGAGGGAGGGGAGCCTGAGTGTCTAAGTGTATGAGAGGTGCCTGACCTTCAGGAGGCCATCTGTGGAGGGCGGGTGCCACATCCTCTCCCTTCCCCCTGAAGACTGCTCTGTCAACCTCTGCAGGTCAGCCTCAGCCGGCGCTGCAGGCTGTGTGACTCTCAGTTGGCTGGGTGACACCTGAGGAGGAACAGCAGAGAGATGGCCCAGGTCCTGCATGTGCCTGCCCCATTCCCAGGTCAGGGGCAGGTGGGAAGGGTGGGGGAGGGCTCTGCCCTGAAAGGCTTGAATGGGAAGGACGGCTCTATGACAGTCTGAGGGGGAGGTCAGCCCCGAGGTGGGGGAATAGCTCTGACTGTGGGCCTGAAGGGGCGGAGGACAGCCCTGGAGTGAATGGGGAAGGACATCCCTGTCCTTGGCATCGTTGGGTGACAGGGCCAGACCCCCGTTCGTCCAGAATGGGCTCCCAGCTCTGGCGAAGCAACCTGTGTCCCTGGGCTGTCAGCTGGCACAGTGGGCCCGCAAGTACTTTAAGGCCTTGGCTTTCCCCAC